AAAAATTAATAAAGATGTGTGAAAGGTAAAAATTACTGTGCTTCCATTAAAACATATGTGTGCTTTGATAGTCATTGAAAAAGTAGACTATCGTAGCGAATCGTGGTAGTTCATATATAGTTGGCAATGGCGTTGGGATATTAATGGCAAAATTTAATGCCCAAGGCCAAGCATTGAAATATGTAACGCCACAACTGCTGGTTCATATATAGTTGCGAGAGATTTTTCAATGTGACCAGTACACGAGATAGTATACCACTTGTCACTATACAAATAGTGAGATATGTGTGCTAAAAAGTTAATAACTTAAAAAATAAAATTTCCCGCAACTTCCATTAAAATACGTGGTGTACCGCTTGAGTTTCCATCACAATTAAAAATTTCTCACATAGTTGCAAAAACTCAATAATTCCTTCCAATCCACCAAATACAACAGCAACAAAGCTTTGTCCCACTAAACGGGATCGGCTATATGTCTCCCGGAACGCTACTGTGCTTTGATTTGCGTCAAGTTTTCCATCATCCTTGGGTACTCCATTCTTTTCTTAAAATCTATTTCCAAGTATTATGAGGTTTTCCTTTACCCTTTTTACACTGACCCTCCGTCTTTTTCTAACAATAGCATTTGTAGGACTTTTGTTCACATGTCCATTCATTTTAACCGATTTTCTCTCATCTTATCTTTAATTGCTGCCACTCTTATTTTATATCGAATATCTTGGTTTCTAATTTGGTCCTTCTAATCCACCCAATAATTGGTGGAATTTGTGGCCATGTGTTTTCGATGTGCACACCTTGACAAAAATATTGTTTGAAATTTCAATAAAATTGACCAAACTGCAAAGGCATTTACATAATTGAACATGTATTAGAACAACACAAGATGGCAGTTAGAAAGATTGAAACGCCTCTATGAGTTTTTTGATTTTTAAAAAGATGCATTTTCGTAGCTTTGCCACCATGTAGTCCTTTTTTCAAAACAAAAAAGTAAACATGGTAATCAAATTCTTCATAAAGCCTTTTCATTCCTCATCATCACGAAAGTTTAAATTCATTCCTTGCCAATTTTATTCCCTTTCAATTTCGTTTCCCATTTACAAATTAGAAAAACATTTATAGTGGGAGGTTTTTTAATATACTCAACAATAATATACGGAAGTTGGCCACTAGGCATATAGGGTCAATTCGTATTTAAGGATTCAAAACGACATGCAGGAAATTAGCCTAATTAGGCGAGCTTCGGTCATTGTCTGTTTGAGGATGGCAATCATAAGTGTAGAGTTTGCCATAACGTGTGTCGACATCCGATATATACTAGAAAACAGTGCCCACGCGTTGTTGCGGGATTAAAAATTACAAAATAAATTGTATCAAAGATATAGAAGATTGTGACATAGAAGATTAATATTATTTACGTTGAAAACGTTAGGAAGATGTTTACATACAAAAAAGATTACGATTGGAACATGAAAAGTTTTTGTCATGTACCGTTGGTTGAGGTAGCAGAAGATGTTGTCCCATGAACTAAGCTAGTAAAAGCTAGTAAAAGCTAGTAAAAGCTGTATTTTAAATCATATGGTGTTGCGTTTACTCCAATTAAAAAAAAAAAAAAAGTGAAAACAGTTATGATAGAAATTCAATTAGCAAAGCTACAACCCAGTGAGAATATGAATTTATAAATTAGATTCACTCACATAGAAACAATTACCTTAGCATTTGCTAACTCTGTATAAGTTGTTCATGAAGCGCAATTTAGAGCATTATTCTTGAAACCGTAAATCACGAACTTGTTAGAGCAACACTATTAAGTATCAACAGGAATGGATATATTCATTGACCACTTTTAAAAAGTAGAATCTCAAATGAGATGAAAACTGTACATTCACTAAAAAGTAAAATCCCAAATGAGATGAAACAATCAAAGATTCTACTCATATAAATATGTGAGCATGAATGAATATTCAATATGAACATAAAATTATTCTCTTAATTCTGTGAAAATAACGTAACAAAACTTGAAACGTACTAACCGTGTTCCTTTAATGCGGATATTGTCAATGTTCACCCTATGAATCAAACCTCGAAATAGTTGCTCTCAAAAAAAAGGCAAACACTATACTCCTAAGGATGTAACGTAAGTATTCCATATCTGCCAAAATAATTATTTGTATTAAATACAAATCGAAGTTAATTAGATAAGAAGATAGTCATATATAGTTTCGTATCATTTGTATCTGTATCTTACTTTGAAAGCCTGATTCCCTTTTGAAATATCTCTATGACAAAGCAATTCAATCCTCTAGTAAAGAGAAAATACCAAATTCCAGAAATGATACATTGGAATAATGTTTTAGGTCTTCCAATATTAAAAGGTTAGAAACTCAGAAGACAAAACACCACAATTCATTAAATTCAAAGTTGCACATATTTCTTCTATACCTTGTATATCATGTTTTTTATATGATTGTGACTAAGACCTGATTTCTCTTTGATCAGCCTGGGCAAAAGCCCACAATTATTCTACAAACTCAACACATTATATACATAGAGGAAATTGCTAATGTTAAAATTCAAATAGATTATTCTCTGTAGAAAACTCAAATAGATTATATATCAAAATTCAAAAATAAAGATAGAGAAAAACATTATGACTATTGAGCTAGTATTGAATAATGGGTTCACCATATTTATAACTGAAGAAATGCAATCCACCATTAAAATTCTATTAATTAAATAGTTACCCCTATATCTTTTGCTAATGAATATTCAAAATATTTGGCGATAAAATAATGAATAATGGAATAAATTAATCATCAATTAATTATCAACTAAAAATAAAATTCGTTAAACCCTACAATAGTATACATCTACTAAACAGAAGTTAAGATAACTAATATTGAATTTGACCTACTATTTTACTTGTATATTTGTTTTTTAAATTCAGTATAAAATTTGTTGAATGGATACGAAACACCCAACTCTATTAAATTAAATATTTTTTTTAACAAACGATATTATCCACATTAAGTGGGTGGAGGAGTGGGTTAATCCTCACAATGGGTCAGCAATAATGTGGCAATAATAAAATATTAAGTATTTGGCAACATCTTCTATTTGTGCAATTTGGAAGGGCTGGATTCTCACCTTCTCCGGGGCTGCTTCTCCACATCAATCATCACGAGAGAGAGGGAGAAAGCAGGTATTCTTCAGTGTTTGAGTCCTGTATATTGGTAAAAAACCAATTAGGTACTTCGAATTACATAAACATCTTCCAATAGTTCAAATTGGAACTTGAATGAATCCTGAATAAAATGAAAATAATTACAGAATCTAGGAACAAACCATGCTTTGTCAAATGGCATATTTAACCTGGCATATAAATATTTCCAAGTAAATTGATAGTTACCTCAAATCAGAATAGAATAGGATAAACCTTTTATAAAATATTATGAATTAACTCCGAAAATTTTCTTTAACCCAGATCTTTTTGAAAAAAAATTTATATTAATTTGATGCTTTGTTTGGGTTTGGGAATTACGGATGGTTAAACAAAAATTAAAGAAATAAAATGACAATGTACTGATTTTGCAGAGATACCTGCTGATGGTTTTGCACCTTGGTGAGTAGTGTCATGAGTATTTCATAACACCGAATCTAAACGCAAGATAAGCTAAACAACAAATAAAGTGATTCAACACATTCTGAAAGAAAACCCCCAAAAAAAAAATAGTTAATTCAGTTCCCCTAACTAAACCCACAAAACACAACTAATCTCGAGTAGAATAATCTGAGAAAAAAGACATATAAATTTGCTTGACCAAGAAACTAAAAGATAAACCGCACAAAGAAATTATGCATATTTGAAAAGAATTCAACCGATTGTAAAATTCTGTTGGAAAAAAAAACTAATGACAGGATTTCAGGCATCAATATTCTTTACACTTAAAATGTCAGAAAATTTTTACATAAAAAAATATTTCATCGATACAGCCTGGATACAAAAAATTGTAAATTTTTTTTGTATTTACATGTATTATCTTTATGAAGTGATATGTATATATGTGTGTGTGTGTAATACTTAAGTTTCAGAATATATAAACTTCAGAACTTAATTCATTTTATAAACTAGAATGAAAAAGATGACTTACACTTTTAAGGCTCCAATATTGATATAAAGTTGAGTCAGTTGATTTGTGGCTACCAACTGTAAATGAAAAATGTAAATGCTAAGTTATATTACATGTTTAATTGTTTTGGCAAGTGCTAAGAGCTCGTTTGAATGTGCTTTTAAAATAATTGAAAACGCTTTTAGTGAAAATATTTGTATAACCAATTTTTAGTAAAAATGCAAGTAAATCCTAGAAAAGCACTTAAATGCTTCCTCGAAGAAGCACATAACTGGTGTTTCTTGCAGAAAACACTTTAAATGCTTTTGGAACTCAAAAACATTTTCTCTAAAAGTGTTTTTAGTTATTTTAAAAATACATCCAAACGAGTCTTAAGTTATGTTATTATGTATGATAGCTTGCCAAATATTGATTAAAAAAAAAAACAGTAAAGGGTTAAAACTTAGGATCAACTCACCTTCCTTGATCTATTATGGAGGAATAAACAGAACGTTTCTTGTACTCTTCTTTAACCACTTCACTAAAAAAAAATTAATCTTTAAATATTAAAGCTGAAGATCTTAAATTCATAAGTTATAAACTCAATAAGCTAGTTAAAATAAACATCCACCACGACATAGAACGGAAATTAAGTTGTTTTGTTTCTGAACATTATTTTAGCAATCAAACGGAGGAAATCTGTGTCATACTAAACAAGCAGTGGTTGTTAAATTTAGTTCTTTAAATTTTGGGTAAATATCAGTTTATTTAAATTTCGTGATTTCAACATTTGGTACATTAAGTTTTTTTTATTCTAGAATCATATCTAAACAGTTAATTTTAAAACAATCTTTTAATCAAACTGACAACACTGCCATTAAGTGATGACGTGGGCTACGGGCACAATGACCTTGAAACTTGGGTTGGTTTGATCTGGGTTTTCAAGTAAGTACTGCAGGGAAGTGTTGGCTGCTGCTGCTCCGCTCCCTCAACGCTCATTTTTTACACATCGCATCGTCGATCCGATCCCGGCTCCAATCCGCCAAACAGGTTCGTCCCCCGTCCCAAATCCCTAATGTGTATTGTTTATTTCTGTCCGAATTTTGATCTGATATTTTTCCATATTTCCAGTAAATCATTTGTTATTCCTCCTCATCTCTCTCAGTGCTTTCACCGAAATTTTCAGTTCTTAGTTCGTATTTTGTTTGCGTTCAGTGTGATTCTACTTGCAGCCTGAGGTGTGATTTTAACCCAGATTAGTTAATATAATTAATTTTTTTTTTTTCTGATTATGTAACTGAAGTAGCTAAAGTTAAGAAAGAACAATTGTGGCTTAAAGTCTTCATATTTGAAAGTTGAATCTCAGCCTTTGAGAGGCTTTTTGAACGTGTGCTCACGTATGCAGGGGATATCAGTATTTATTTGCTTGTTGGTTCTTAATTTTTGTGTTTCGTTTTGGATTTGTTAATATATCATTTTGTGCATCTCAGTCTGTGAATCGATGTTTTAGATTGGATTTTTGTGGCTTTGAATTTGTGTGCCTGAGAAGAGTTATCCAAAGGTTTGATTGAACATTTTTCCTCTTTCTGTTGCAATTTTGCTGTCGTTGTGGCCCTTTGTGAGACTTTGATTTGTCTTTTTTTTTCTTTTTTTTTTTTTTTTCGCTTTGTACAACTTTTGTAAAAGTGAAGTGTTCGTTTTCAATTTTGAGATTGAATTCAAGCAGATTTCCAAGTTTTTTTTTATTAATCTTAAATCATATTAGTTAATTATAGTTAAATTAATTTTATTTATTTATTTATGTTATGTTGCTGAAATAGCTAAAGTTGAGAAAGAACAGTTGGAGCTTAGAGTCTTGCACTTGGGAGTGTAAATTTGGATTTATAAATGGGTTTTTTTGTTTAAATATTTGGGTTGTAATATTGGGGATTTTGTTTGTGGCTTCGAATTATGGGTGATGGTGGTTAATTTGGTTTTGTTTTTGGTTTCAGGAGATCCGGTTTTTCGGGTTTCTGACGTTTCTTTGCAGCCTGCGAAGGCCTCTGTATTTAAGGTCAGCATTTTTAAAATTCTACGCTTTTTATTAGATTTGCAGCCTGACATGTAATTTTAAAGCTGAAATTTCCAAGCTTTTCGATTAATCTTAAATCAGATTAGTTAATTATATAAATTAATTTTTTTTTCTTTCTATTATGTAGCTGAAATAGCTAAAGTTGAGAATGTTGGATCTGTTGCCTTAGGGAAGAAATTTTAAACCTACAAAAGCTTGGTTTTCAGGAAATCGCCAATCCTGCAGACACTTTGGGTTTCCTGGTGAGTTCTCCGACTTATTTGTTTCGGGTTTGAGTTCTCTTTTCTTTGTTCAAATTTTTGTTGACTTTAATTTTAAAAATCGAGGTTTTTTTTGTTCAATGATTTTGTCCATCTTATTAGCTTTCTCACCAGAGATCTCCGCCATCACTGCTCCACCAAACTCGCTGATAGCGTCCACTCTCTCAAACCAGGTACGACTTCTTTCACTTTCTTTTGTTTCCGGGAAAATTTAGGGCTCGAAAGTGTGTAGAATTTTAGAAGTAAAAAAAAATCTCGATCTTTGTGTCGTCCTGTACAACCATCTTATTCTACCATTGTAGCATAAAGTTGCACATATTATTTGGTTTGTAGATAGAATTATTTGTGTTTTTTAGTAGCATGGGAATCTGTAGTCAACATATCATTTTCTGCAAGACTGAAGATTAGTCTGTAATGGATATACAGATCTTTGAGAGGACACCCATCATTTGGCTGATTGCATAGGATTGCTACATCTGAACACTGTACAGGTATAGTTTCTTTTTATATTACCTTGAATTAACAAAATATGGTACTTATCTTCGTTAATTCGAGAAGATAAGAACTGTTTGTCGTCAATTCAAGGTGACATTAGCTTCTCCTCAACTAATGTCTGCCCTGTTCCTTTTACTTTTATGTCTACCTTTTTTGTTAACAAATCGTTTGGCCTCCCATTTTTTACCACACTTATAGATTATAGTAAAATGAAGCTTAAATGAGATAGTTTTAGGAGGAATTTAGGTTTATTTGTGGCTGTGAAGTTTAATATTTAGTTAATTACATTTACAGGCGATGAGATAGTTTTTGCCTATTCTTCCACTTGGTTTTTGAACTGCACAGAATTATGGTTTTGTAAAATTGACAGTCAGCCCGTGCATTAAATGGACTGTTTATTATCTTTGAGTTAATTAGATTCAAGCAATTGAGGTTGAATAACTTTTTGATCATCAATTGTTGATGCGCTACTAATCTAATTGGGTACGTTGTATATATGCATGACCTGATGGTATTCCTTTAAATTACTTATATGCAAAAATTGTTTTCTGTGATGGTTCTAAATGATTTGTTAGATGCTATTTTGGCTTCAGTTGTTTTTCTTTTTCTTCTACTGATCCTTTCCTATGTGGTTGATTTATAGGCCTCTTGAATTTTGAATTGTGATTGAAAATTGGAGTCCGCACATGGAGTATAGGTATAACCACTACTTATTTTTCTTATTACTTTTCCTTTAAATGTCTTTTGAGTCTGAGATTGAGTCTCTATAGATTGTAAATTTCAGACACATGCATACTTCAGTGCATACAAGAAAGCCAATGTTTTTCTTTTAGGTATAAAGAGCCAAATACGTTATAATATATATATATATATGTATGTATGTATATATATATATATATTTCTTCAATGAATGCTTTGCTGTTTTTACTTTTAATTGTTTAGTTTAATGGTTGTTTGGATCCTTAAAAATATTCTTCGTTTAAAAGTCTTTTTGGATGGATAATTAAATCGATATAGATTATGTTACCTTTTGCTGTATCAGATTTGTCATTTTCTTACTGGCTTCAGTTCTTTCATTTTTTTGGTTTGTTCTGTATATTTAAATGGGTTTTGTTTGTTCATTTCTTTTTTTCTGGATATCGTTTAGATTGATATTGTGAATGTGTTGTTTGGTTCTGTTTTTTATTTCAGGAGGTGCGGCTTTTCGTATTTTTGGCCTTTTTTATCAGCTGTTGTAACATTTTTGTAATAGAGGTGAGTAATTTACATATTTTTTCAAGCCTTTCTCTAAGAAAGTAATAATTTTTTATGAAAGTTGTGAGACTTCACTTCTATATTATCTCATGCTTAAATGTGTTTGATGTTATTTTATGAATATGTTAAATGGGTTAAGATGCATATTGTTGTTTACAGAGTAAAAAATAGTTAGCTGCTGTTTTTTGTGTTTTGGGGATTTTATCAGATTTGAAAGAAGACGGAGACGAAATTAATTTTGAACAATCTGTGTTTGGGGAATGCAACATATCGGATTTAGGTTATACTGTGCAAAGTTTTATTGTGTGTTGTTATCTGCGCTATACCATTTCCATGCAGGCTTCGAAAGTTATTCATGAGCTTTTATAAGCACTTTCCATATTTTAAGCTGTCTGTTTTGGGTTCTTTTCCATTAGGTCATTAGTTACTGAATGATGGAGAAAGGAGGACCATACCATTGATTTTGGGTTCTTTTTATAATTTTATGATTTTGGGGTTTTGCAGGGAGCGCTGATGTACTGATTTTATGGGATTTTTTTTTTCCTTGCAGGATTTTGGGTCTTTGAAATGGTTACGTGTTGTTTTTAACTTTTTGGTTCTCCTGTGTTTTGTTCTTCATTGCTTCGTGATTCTCATTTTTCAGTATTGGGTAATGGAAATTTGTAAAAATAGTCGTAGTTTTTTTTAGAAAGTTGGCATTTTTAGTTATATTTTATGTTTAATCCCAAATGTAAGACTGGAAAATAATTGAAATGATGGTTTATTAAAAACTCCTCTTAATTTTTATTTTCTTCTGGGATTTAAAAGCATCTTTTCCCGATTGGTTACAAGGGTTATGTTCTCTATAATTGGTTCACCATGTTTGATTAGTTTTAAGTTCAAAAACCTTACCAAAGAGTTACATTAGGGTGACACTAATGAATCAACAATTGGCATTAACTCATCTAGAGCCAACTCGTGGCTTTTGTTTATAGGCATCTGCTAAGATTGCTTATGTTTTATTATACATACTTGGCTATCAGATAGAAAAGGGTGGTGCTATTCACACCTATTTTACCTCCACCCATTCTTCTTAATTTTCGACCATCGGATCGAATGAATTAAAAGAGATCAAAAGACAAAAATTACCAAAAAAATGTGAGAAATTAAAATGGTAGTGTGAATAGCACCAACTATAGAAAAAGAAACATCCATTTTTTTTTTCCCTTCGATTAAAAGAGGAGATTTACACTGCAACATACTAACACAAAATTGACATGAAAGTTTGACTCAAATATCTATAAAATTGTATGTTATTTTAGATATACATCATCATAGCCAAAACCTTAGAGGCAGAAAAGACCCAAGGACAAGTACAGAGGTGCACAAAAGGATAAAAGGCATGCATAAATCATTTCCCATTATTTATCACCTTCCTTCTCTAATAATGCCAACGAGCAGTGATTGAGTGATGTTTACAGAAGGCGCAGGGTGAATCCAAGGAGAGTTAGCACCACTTGCATTGCTGCCTTCCGACTGATAGTTGAGGCGAGCATTACTACCCTTGGATGCAGTTGATGGGGTACCATCATCCACCAAAAAGCTACCTGTTAACGATGTTGTTACATCTTTAAAATCATAATCTGTCAAATAGCTCGGCTTCAACATGACAGTGCCTATGTCAATATCTCCAGAGAGCATTGCCACCACGCGTGACATAGATGGCCTTGTCATCGGTGATGCCTGCGTGCACATGAAAGCTGCTCTTATCAGTCTAGTCGCTTCAATTTCGTCAAACTCTGTCAATCTCGGATCCACCAACGCCAGAATTTGGTCGTTTTCATGCAGAGTCCATGTCTGAAAAACATTATGCCATGGTCCAAGGAAAGGGTGAATAAGTTTTGCACAACAATGCCAAAATAAAGCTAGGGGAATGCAATTCCTACCCATTCAAGAAGATAAATCTTTTCTGGATCTAAGTTATTGTTAGAGTTTGGTCTCCTGCTGGGGATCTACAAAGGAACGACTCCAATACTAAACACACCAGCCTTATCTGTCAAATGTCCACGCATTGCATACTCGGGTGCCAAATAGCCTCTGCAATGCAAGATAATCAAATGGTTGTACAATGTTTCTTGAGATCATTAGTCGCATTGTTAACATGATGTGTATTAAAATTTCATGCAAGTATAAGTGTGTGTGGCTATAATATATGTAACCTATGGAAAAACAATGAAGGATGGCTTACATTATCCTTGCAACCTGGGTGCTGATGTGGGTTTTCTTGTCATCATAAAGCTTTGGCAATTCAAAATTTGATATTTTTGGGGGGAGTTTTGCATCGAGCAAAATATTAATGGCTTTGACATCTTGATGTACAATCCTTGGCCTTGACTCCTCATGGAGGTAAGCAAGTCTTCTTGCTGTTCCCAACAATATATTGAATCAAGTAGGCCAGCCAAGGTGCAAGTTACTTGTCTTTGAAATATTAGTGAACACATCCAATCAAAATCAAGGCTCAATTTATTGACCCAAAAAGGCCTTATTAAATTATCTGAATTCTCTGAACACATTCTTAAATTTTAGTGGTGGGATCTCCATCCAGTGGTGGTGGTTCATGAACATATCTATAAACATTGTGTATGAATAACTAGGATATACATCGATCTGCTAAGGTGTATTCAAATCTGGCATGCCAGTCCCCTGCCCACTACCAAAAGCCAAAGCTAAAGTACAATTAGAATTAATTATTAAAATGTGTATTATATAAAAGGAAAGGGTCCAAAACAAGTACAAGGGTGCACAAAGGGGTAAAAGGAGCATGTGAAAATCCGTTCTCAATATTTATCACCTTCCTTCTCCTCTAATGTTAGCTAGCAGTGATTTGAGTGACGTTTACAGAAACACCACTTGCATTGCTGCCTCCCGACTGATAGTTGAGGCGAACATTACTACCCTTGGATGAAGTTGATGGGGTATCATCCTCCACCAAAAATCTACTTGTTAACGATGTTGTTACATCTTTAAAATCATAATCTGTCAAATAGCTTGGCTTCAATATGACAGTGCCTATGTCAATGTCTCCAAAGAGCATTGCAACCACGCGTGACATAGATGGCCGTGCCATCGGTGATCCCTGTGTGCACATGAGAGCTACTCTTATCAATCTAGTTGCTTCGGTTTCATCAAACTCTGTCAATCTTGGATCTACCAGCCCCAGAGTTTGGTCGTTTTCATGTAGAGTCCATACCTAAAAAAACATCATGCCACGGTCAAAGGAACGTATAAATAAGTTCTTCACAATAATGCCAAAATGAAGCTAAGCGAAAGCAATTCCTACCCATTCAAGAAGATAAATCTTTTCTGGATCCAAGTTATTGTAAGAGTTTGGTCTTCCGCTGAGGATCTCCAAAACAACGACTCCAAAACCAAACACATCGGCCTTCTCTGTCAAATGTCCAAACAATGCATACTCTGGTGCCAAATAGCCTCTACAATGCAAGATAATCAAATGGTTGCACGATGTTTCTTGAGATCATTAGTGGCATTATTAACATGATGTGTCTTATAATTTCATGCAAGTATAAATGTGTGTGGCTATAATATATGTAACCTATGGAAAAACAATAAAGGATGGCTTACATTGTCCCTGCAACCTGAGTGCTGATGTGGGTTTTCTTGTCATCATAAAGCTTTGCCAATCCAAAATCTGATATTTTTGGGGAGAGTTCTGCATCGAGCAAAATATTACTAGCTTTGACATCTCGATGTACAACCCTTGGCCTTGACTCCTCATGAAGGTAAGCAAGTCCTCTTGCTGTTCCCAACAATATATTGAATCGAGTAGGCCAGTCAAGGTGCAAGTTACTTGTTCCTGAAATATTAGTGAACACATCCAATCAGAAACATTTCTTAACAATTTTAGAGTGCTTGAAATTGCAAACAATGTTGTTTTTGTGCAACCTAAAGGTAGATAGGTTTGTACCAAAAAGTGCCTGATCAAGGCTCTTGTTTTCAAGATACTCATAAACCAAAATGTGGTGGCTGCTTTCAATGCAGCATCCATACAATTTCACTAAATTTCGATGTTGCACAGCAGATATGGTAGCAATTTCAGATACAAATTGCCTCTTCCCTTGGTGAGATGATACTGAAAGTTGCTTCACAGCCACTACTCTACCATCAGAAAGTGTACCCTACAATGTACACAGAAAGACAATTTCGTGATGTGAAAGGAAAGAAAACAAAAGCTATTTTCTTCTCTTGCTCTCTCTCCTTTCTCTTATCATTACTTCAAGTACATGATATTGATGTAATACGAATTTCACCTTATAAACGGGGCCATATCCTCCCTCTCCTAGCTTATTTGAAGGATTAAAATCTTCAGTTGCAGCTCTCAATTCAGCATAACTGAAAGTATATGGCCGGGGGCCTAATCCTAGAATATCTGCACATTCACAAAACAGTATGACGTAAGTTTTACTTTCGTGAAAGCATTCTTACTTCTGTGTGTTAATGTTAGAGCAGAGAAACTTGAATTGGGTACCAGTAATGATATGGTCGTTTACCTTCATCATCTTCTTTTTCTGATTTTTTCCTCCTCATATATAGAATTGCAAATATTAATAGCAAGCTCACAACTCCAACAAGAACTGCAATACCAACTGTCAACCCAGTCTTGCTCTTCTTTGTAAAATTCTTCTTTGTAAAATCTAAGTGATAAAACAGACGAATTCTTCAATGTCAATTAACAGCAGAAAAATACATTTAAACCACTCACAAGAAATCTTTATAAGTTAACACATACTATACCTGAAGTAGCATGGATAGCTGCTATTAGTGGGCAACAAGCCCCTTTACCAGCCCAGAACAGATGAATTTCAAGATAATTCTCTGACACGTTAACATTAAATTTTCTCACAACTGCTCGGTTAACACCACCTGCCTCCTTCGATATGTCAAAGTCCTTCATCCTGCGGGTACCCTGGCAACCAAATGAAGAGGTAGGTGATAATTCTAGTCTCCTTTAAATCACTGTCTTTAGTTAATGTAGCTTAAAACATCGAAAACCTGTCCAATGAGGTGTTTACTTCAAATAAGTTAAGAATTTTTATTCTATAAGCAGTCTTACCTGAATATAGATATCAAATACACGCCGTCCTAGACTTTGCCAAGTATGCGAATTCCAACTTTCATAAACCGTCTCTGCAAAGTGCAATGTTACAGTGTAGGGCCCATTCACAAGGCCCAGGCCATGGTATCTCAGTGATCCTGTGGACATTCTTGAAGTCTGGTAAAGCGCCGGGGTCACATCTGTTCCGGTGACTTGTGCAAGGGTCTTGTGCACCGATGCGGGGGGGTTACCTTCGTTAGAAAACGAACCGACATTGCTGACAGCCCAATTCTCTGTACTGGATACACTGAATGTTGCTGGACCAAGATTTGAGTATTCACTCTCATACAATATGCCGTCACTTCCCGTCATTTGCTGTCCACCACAGTTGATTGAGAAGCTTGCTGTAATACCAGAATCTACCCATGATTAGCGATGAAACTTCAAATTGAAGACTCAGACTAATGTTCTTCAGTCACATATTTCTAACCAGTTATGCGTATTACTGAACTTATGGAAACATGCTTGCTATCTATATCCATATGTATACATAACTAAAGAAGCAATGCCTTTTCCTCTAACAAGACGCTGCGTTAAAATAGTAAATGATGGGTGACATAAGAGCAGATTACATCGTGGGGTATTTCGATTGCATGGAAAATTTCTCTGGAGGCAATTCAATCCAGGAAGACTGCAAACACAGAGAAAAATTATTAGTTATCCAAATAGAAACATGTAGTGGGAGAGTAGTGATTGTATTGCTTGTCTAAAAAACGAGTAAGAGAAACTTCAACCCACGTTATGTTTGAACTGTCAAATGTGAAGTTGTTGACCACTAAGTTCCTGCATAAAATCATTAATCAATCAACATATGAAGAACTATATCTTTATCAAATGAAAATTCCATGTACAGTGAAAACGAATCTCAACGATAATTTTTTGTCCGAACATGTTCTGGTGATTTAAACTATAAAATGAACATGAAAGATAAAAGGAAACGTACAGTTGCGATGTTTTGTTCCCCCACTCGGGAAAGCTTCCTGATAAAAAATTGTAAGACAAATCTCTGCAAATAACAAAATAGAATCAAAAGACACAAAATGCATGAAAGTTATTAAGAACTTGTGTAAGATAGGATTAGAATGCTTACGATTATACGCAAACACATACATGCACCGTGCATTCTATATGACTACTTTAAGAAACGAGGACTTACATAGTCTGAAGTCCATCGCTCTTTTGGCTCGGAAGAGATCCGGAGAGACTATTGTTTCCAAGAAACCTGGCCATTTCGATTATAGTAGAAGGCACCCAGAAAAGAAAAGGAGATGAACAAACAAAAGGTCAGATGTGCACAAAAGGTCAGATCTTCAATCAAAGTAGGGAATGCTGAAGATTTGATAACTTATGTATGATAAGGCAAGAAAAAAATAATAATAAAGACGGGGATTACAAGGAATTAAGAGAACTCAAGTTGAACAAAGAACTTGGGAGTTGGCCTGTCAAATTGTTGAAACTCAGATCCCTGCAACACCAACGATAAGTTGAGAAGAGCAATCAGGATGAAAGAAAACTAATTGGTCTCGTTGGGACTCAAGCTTATATTTGCTGGTACGTACAGTGTCTGTAGACTTTTATATTCTCCAATATCAGATAGGATGGTACCAGTGATTAATGTGTTTCGTAGGTTTCTGTATTCCAAAAACATAAAATTTGATAAAAGTAGATGGAGTAAGATATCAAATTTGATGAAAGTATCTGGATCGATGAGAATCTTCACTTACAATTCAGTCAAGTTTTTCATATTTTTTATGAAATCCAGAGAAGAGCTCCCATTGTATATATCACCGATTCGCCTACATCATTATATGCAAAATAAACTGAAATCCCGTCTTCGGAGAAAGAGAGAGAGAATTACAATTTACTTACAGATACTTCAATGAGATCAGTTGAGAAAAGCTGGTTGGTATTGGGCCTTCGAAAGAGTTCCCTCGAAATCTCCTACAGAAACATATAAGAAGCTTGTGAACAAATTATCCATCTCTGGTCTGCTTTCATAAACTGCAAAAGATCAAAGGTTTCTCTACTTACAAAGAAGTGAGTTGTGTCCAATTCCCTATGAAATCAGGTATCTTTCCTGAGAAAGGATTGTCCGATGCCCAGCTAAAATTCAAAAAGTTGACTTATACTAAGCTCATCCAAGAAAAGGAATCTCAAAGTACTGGATAAACGAACAAATCTAAAATACGATTTAAGAGCCGTTCTTACAGGGCTTGCATCTTGGTGAAAATCATAAGGCAACTGATTAATACCGATTTCATACGATAAAGTGCAATTTTTGCTCATCCGTAAGGAATTAACGAAGCACTTACAGTTGCTCGAGCTTGACTAAATTACCAAGTTCTGGAGGGAGTGTTCCGGAGAAATTATTTGCTCCGATGTCCCTGCAAGTCATGTTGAACGGGCAAACACTTACTTGAAAGCAATTATTGAAGAGTGATAGAAGGTTGTGTTGAATTGTAAGTCTATAGCTGATTAGGAAATAAGCTGTGAATCAAATTTATGTATTCACTTGAGTTTAAAATACCAAGTGTGCAGCTCTAATGTAGTAAGGCAAATAATGCCAGGTGTAATGATCCTAGCAACTAGCTAGATGTAAGGCTGAGATTGTTTTGTGAAGAGAGAGAATCCACCTTGGATTCCAACTGTTATGTAAAGCACAGAGTGTGTGTGAATTGTAGAGAGATGAAGAGAATATGCTCTGCTAGAGAGAAACCTTCAGAATATTCTTCCATTGTTATCCTTCTTATTTTCTGTTCTTCGATTGTTCATTCATAACCAGATTTTTAGCTTATAACAACAGGTTCTGTATCTAATGTTTACGACACAAAATTTTATTGTACGCTCTCTAATTTTTCATGGCTTACAGCACAGTTAGCTCCTTAAGGTTTCCAAGCTCCTTGGGGATGGGCCCAGAGAATGGATTGAATTGAATATACCTGAATGGAGATAAGTACTGCATTATTGCCAATGAATTACATTACATAACAGGAAACTCGTACTTCATTATTCAATAAAAGCATAATGATTTTTTTGTAGATTACGGCATAAATAGTAACGAAAAGGTGTAAAGAACGTAACTGTAGATTATGATATTCAAAATGAAGTATACAAATTGCTACGGGTCTCATCACAAGTATGAGTACTTAAAGAAATGTTCTCTCACTACTTACAATCCAGTCAATGCAGACATATTGCCAATGAATGCCGGTAGGGGACCGGTGAAATAATTCTGATTGATCCTCCTACAAAAATTGAAAGGAAGTGTAATCGTTAACTCTTACAGTCATCCGTAAGGCATTAACATGTCATTCAAATTTGATGATTTAATGAAGCACTTACAGTTCCTTGAGCTTGACTAAATTACCAAGTTCTGGAGGGAGTGTTCCGGAGAAATTATTTGATCCGATGTTCCTGCAAGTCATGTTGAACGGGCAAACACTTACTTGAAAGCAATTATTGAAGAGTGATAGAAGGTTGTATTGAATTGTAAGTCTATAGCTGATTAGGAAATAAGATGTGTATCAAATTTGTGTATTCACTTGAGTTTAAAATACCAAGGGTGCAGCTCTAATGTTGCCAGGTGTAATGATCCTAGCAACTAGCTAGATGTAAGGCTGAGATTGTTTTATGAAGAGAGAGAATCCACCTTGGATTCTAACGGTTATGTAAGCACAGAGTGTGTGTGAATTGTAGAGAGATGAAGGGAATATGCTCTGCTAGAGAGAAATCTTCAGAATATTCTTCCATTGTTATCATTCTCATTTTCTGTTCTTCGATTGTTCATTCATAACCAGATTTTTAGCTTATAACAACAGGTTATGTATCTAATGTTTACGACACAAAATTTTATTGTACGCTCTCTAATTTTTCATGACTTACAGCACAGTTAGCTCCTTAAGGTTTCCAAGCTCCTTGGGGATGGGCCCAGAGAATGAATTGAATTGAATATACCTGAATGGAGATAAGTACTGCATTATTGCCAATGAATTACATTACATAACAGGAAACTAGTACTGCATTATTCAATAAAAGCATAATGATTTTTTTGTAGATTACGGCATAAATAGTAGCGAAAAGGTGTAAAGAACATAACTGTAGATTATGATATTCAAATTGCTACGGGTCTCATCAGGAGTATGGGTACTTAAAGAAATGTTCTCTCACTACTTACAATTCAGTCAATGCAGACATATTGCCAATGAATGCCGGTAGGGGACCGGTGAAATAATTCTTACTGATAGTCCTACAAAAATTGAAAGGAAGTGTAATCGTTAACTCTTAATCTTACAACATCACCATATTTTTGTTGAAATCCCACATCGGCTAGAGAAATAAAAAAAGAAGAGTTTAAATATCCAAATCCCACTTCAACTAATGATGAACCCCTTCAAGATAAACCCCACACCTGACGGATTGTGCAGGTGGTGATTATCAAGTTGGAGACAGTATCGGTGTTGTTGGAAGCGAGCTTTTGGCCCGTGTCTCTGATAATTCTACAATTTTTAATATCCAATATAAGATTTTGATGAACCGAAAACAGATAAGGGAGTTGAAAAAAATTCATACAAATATGTGAGATATCTCAGAGCCACAAATTCTTTTGGAAACACCCCTCGTTTGTTAAGAGCATACACTTGCCTGGAAAGCAAAAAGATTGAACATTTAGAACTACATAAAATGGAGCGACACAGTCAAATTATGACGTTAACATATATAGGTAGCAAGTGAAAAATCAGCAGTGGCATGGAAATGTTGTTCATCAAGAGAGAGTAGTTTAACATACAGTTGGGTAATGTGGCATGTAGCATTATTGTCGTAAGAACAGTTGCAAACGATGCCTGGGTTGATATCGGCGCTATAAATGTCGGTGCCGTTGATGGCATATCCACTGCAGGGTTCTCCACTGATATTCCACTGCCCCGGCACTGCTTGTGTGTCCCATTGTTCAAATATTGAGTTCAACGCCCTCACTGCACTCTCAGTTAATTCAGTCCTTGTGTGTATTAGATTATATCACCACATAATTTGACTGGTGTTACCACTTACCAGACTATCTTGAACCAAACGAAAGATCAAATTGATTATTACAAAGGAAAATTACCCTTAATTTTTGGATGTTTTGTATATGGGAAGAAAATTACCCTTAATTTTTACAAATAAGTTCTTCGAAACTTCATTTCATATTGTTGAAGAACACTAAAATGTCATTTTGTTGAGGGAAAAAAACCCAGTTCCTGGTCAAAAACACTTAAATGTGGCAAAGTGTGTGTGTGTGTGTGTGTGTGAGAGAGAGAGAGAGAGAGAGAGAGAGAACCTTCAGATGGATCAGTGGTAGCATTTTGAGCAAAGGACAGCTGAAACCAGAAGCAGCTGAGGAAGCAGAGTAATAGTATCCTCATCATCAACTTTATCTTCATATTGTACATGTGCAGAACTTGCTCTCCTCGACGGCGTGAACTTAAACAACCAACACTTGTATTCCGACTGGCTGAATCATGCATTGCATGTAAGAAGCAGACCATTGGATTTTAGTCATATATTGACAACGTATACATATATAATATAGGATAAATTACAAAAAATTACATGTCAAATCACAATCTCATATTTCATATTTTAAATATTGCAATGTCATTTCTCAATTTATGAATTTATTGCAATATTAGGCCTCTGTTAAATTTTCTGTCAATCTGACTGTTAAATGATGGGAGAAACAAGACCCACTTTTCTCCCAACTGCAATAAAAAATTAATTAATTATTAATAAATTATTAATTTTTTATTTGACAATTAAATTAACTAAAAAAAAAAAACCTCTCCTCCTTGTTCCCTGGAAATCGTCCCCTTTCCTCCTCCCATCACTCCTTCCTCCGCTCCCCTTCTTCCTCGTCCTCCTTAAATACAGCTAATTTTCGTCCTTCTCCGGGAACAACTGATACACCGCCGATCGCAAAACGCAGGTGGGTTTCGATGGCAAACCAAAACCAGACCCCAAATAAGTGGGTTTTGATGGCAAACCAAAACCGGACCCTCATCTTGCTCCAACAGTCTTTACATAAAACTAATTTGATTTCTTCATCATAAGTTCACTCAGATTTCGGAAAACTGAGCATCAGAAACCATCCCCTTATCCTTTTCCCTCTCTTCAAATCCCATCACCGACTGGGGCTTTCGCCCCACTGCCATTTCTTCAATTTCTTCTTCTTCACCATTTTTCTAAGAAAAACCACTAAATAAAATTGCAAAGGGAGAGTTCCAGGAAGCCAAAACGACGAACCCCACAAAAACAAAACCCAAAACGAAAAACACAAATACAAACCCAGAAAATGCAAGAAATTAGAGAATTTTTTTTTTTTTTTAAATTAGAGAAATTAAATTTTTCAAAAATTCAAGAAGTGGCCATTTGAAAATTCGCCCAGAACTCCGGATTTTCGAAATCCTCCATAATATTAATTGAAGAATGGAAGTTCATAACAGTCAAATTTATTTCTTTTTCCTTCCCCTTTTTTTTTCCCATTTTCTGGGTTACCACCACTTCTACAGATTCGCTTCCCCGATGTGTGTCAACCTCTACACCTTCTCATTTCCGTCTCCGTCCGTTCGGTTCTCCATCAACCACCATTCGATTTCTACTAACCATCATTCGAATCGATCCACTGCCGTTTCAAAGAAAACCGGACCGATTTTGATGCCGAACAAGACATGTATGTGCTCGCCGACGTCGTAGCCAGATCATTTCGTTGCAACCCCCACAAGAACCAGGGAGGGAGTCAAAACACCGGATCTTTCCCGTCGAACAGATTGAATATGTGCCGATCTGATATGACGAACTCGCTGGTCCGAATCGGTGGACTCGAAGGCGGCGGATGGACGAGGAAAAAGGGGGACGGATGAGGGATTGAAGGGGACGAATGAGGAAGAAGGGGGACGGAGGAGGGGGGGGGGAGGAGACGATTTCTGGGGAAATGACGAGAGTTTTTTTTTAATTGTTAAATAAGAATTAGTAATTTATTATTAATTAATTAATTTTTTATTCCTACCATATCATCATTTAACAGTTAAATTAACAGAAAATTCAACCGAGATATGACATTGCAATATTTAAAATATGAGGTGTGAAATTGTGGTTAGACCGATAGTTAAGCTCGTTGATCCGCCCGGGATGTGACAGGTTATGTGACCGACTATGACAAAGTAATTTGGCTTTTCTATACACGTTTTCCTCTGATAGTTGAAAACATTTATCCTACAAAGCTTTTTCGGAGAGTAATTCTCACACAACAAGGTTTGTCACACATTACTTTTTATTTCTAACTATTAAATTGAATAAATCAAACATAACCACCGAATGTGTAAGAGGTTAAAAAGGGTTTGTGTTTATCATTTCTTTTTCTTTTCCTTTATTATCAAATTAGGAAACTATTTTTGAAAAAATAATTTTCACACACTTTTTCTCTTCATCTATACTTTTTGTTTGTTCATGAATTTTGGACCGAATAAGATAGAGAAAAATCAAGGAACAAAAATAAGCTGGAGGGTGCGTTTGGGCAAAATCATTTATGACCTAGCAAGTAGTTACAATAAGTAAAAAAATATTATGCCTTTAGTATTACGATGATGTCCCTTCACATTTTAAAGAAAGTCTCATGTTTAAATCTCCAAATAATTATACTTTATCTACTATGTGAAATCGAGTAACTTTACTCCCTGAAACTCAAAATTCGTTATACTTTGACTTGTGAGATCAAAATCGAGTTTCAAGGGATGTAGCTAAAAATAAGCCTAAATAAAAATGTTATTGCATTTGATCCAAACTCGTTGGTCTTCCATCTTCAATCAACAACTTTATTTTCTCCACCGATCATCACTCCCCCGTCACCCCTTCCCTCTCCTTTCCTCCCACGGAGAAGAGATGCAGACGCAACTGTTGCATACAGCAGGTTTCAGCCAAAATTTTCTCTTCCCTAGTCCCAACCACAGCATGTAACATGCTTGGTCGTGGAACACCACCGTGCAAAGCCCTGGCCAGCTCACAGATAGCAGGTCATGGACACAATCATGTGAACTTGTTTAACGAATGCATGATGGAGTTTGCAAGCCGCGGAAGTCTTGGCACACCAAGACTTAGATATGTTTTATATTTTGTTCGAATGAAAATGGGTTGTAGAAATTATGGGTTGCAGCAAAGACTTTGAATTATAGGTCTTCGGCGTCCATTATGGGTTGTAGAAATTCACAACCTATCATCTTATTTACTCTTCTTTTATTGTGGTATTAAATTACGAAAACGGATTTAGATATGTTTTATATTTTTTTCGAATGAAAATGGATATAGATGTGTCGGGTTGAACAAGTTTACAAGTCCATCGCCTACTCCACACTTGCTGGTACTCTTGACTTGGATATGATTGTCGTGTTGTTATTTACATATTTTCTACGTAATGGAAATGTTATTAACACTCCAAAAATCGTCATTGCCACGCTAGTCGCTTTCTTACTTGTTTTTCACTAAAGGGAAATACAGAGATCTTTCTATGGAAGTTTCCGAATTCTTATGAAGCTGTGTAGGACCAAATGAAAACGCATGCATGATGGAGATTGCTAGCCGCAGAAGTCTAAGCACAGCAATTAGTCTTTGGTGGAAAATCTATATGCCGCGGAGACTTTGAATAGTGAGTCTTCTCTAGCATTTGTTAGAGAGTAGAAAAATATCATAATTGACGACAACAAAATCCAGACAACAACAAAGACTCTGGTTTACAGCGACGAGAGGTAGAGAGACATAATTCCGATGTTTGTTTCAATAACGCAGTGCAAGAATATTTGTATAGAGAAATTTTTTGAAATGTCATATGAATTCTTACACATTTTTCAATTTGTTATACAAACTAAAATTTTAAGCAATTTTTCATACCAACTTTCCAAAATCGTAAATTTGTAATCCCGTGCAAATTCTGTTAAGTTTTCCATCATGTGCCTCCATTCAATTTGTCTTCTCATTCTAACTCCGTTCAATTTGTCATATAACTAATATTGGACTATCATATTTCATTTCCCATAGTTTGGACTTTGGAGTATCCCTTAAACCAACATGACAGAGAACGGGTTATGTGACCGACTATGACATAGTAATTTGGCTTTTCTATACACGTTTTCCTCTGATAGTTGAAAACATTTATCCTACAAAGCTTTTTCGGAGAGTAATTCTCACACAACAAGGTTTGTCACACATTATTTTTTATTTCTAAATATTAAATTGAATAAATCAAACATAACCACCGAATGTGTAAGAGGTTAAAAAGGGTTTGTGTTTATCATTTCTTTTTCTTTTCCTTTATTGTGAAATTAGGAAACTATTTTTGAAAAAATAATTTTCACACACTTTTTCTCTTCATCTATACTTTTTGTTTGTTCATGAATTTTGGACTGAAAAAGATAGAGAAAAATCAAGGAACAAAAATAAGCTGGAGGGTGCGTTTGTGCAAAATCATTTATGACCTAGCAAGTAGTTACAATAAGCAAAAAAATATTATGCCTTTAGTATTACGATGATGTCCCTTCACATTTTAAAGAAAGTCCCATGTTTAAATCTCCAAATAATTATACTTGATCTACTATGTGAAATCGAGTAACTTTACTTCGTGAAACTCAAAATTCATTATACTTTGACTTGTGAGATCAAAATCGAGTTTCAAGGGATGTAGCTAAAAATAAGCCTAAATAAAAATGTTATTGCATTTGATCCAAACTCGTTGGTCCTCCATCTTCAATCAACAACTTTATTTTCTCCACCGATCATCACTCCCCGTCACCCCTTCCCTCTCCTTTCCTCCCACAGAAAAGAGATGCAGACGCAACTGTTGCATATGCAGCCAAAACTTTGAACAGTTGGTCTCCTCCAGCGTCTGTTAGAGAGCAGAAAATATATCATAATTGACGACAACAAAATCCAGACAAGATCATCCATTGTAGACAACAAAATCCAGACAAGAACAAAACAAGCAAACAGAGACTTTGAATTAAGGGTCTTCAGCTGGCAAGTCCATTGTACGAGTTGGCAAGTCCATTGTCAACACATATGGGACCCGGTTCTGATGGGTAATAGAAATCCATATGCAGCATAGACTTTGAATTAAGGGTCTTCAGCTGGGAACTGTTCATTTCTTGTGGTATAAACTTACGAAAATGGATTTAGATATGTTTTATATTTTGTTCGAATGAAAATGGATATAGATGCATTGGGTTGAACAAGTTTCCAAGTCCGTCACCTACACCGCACTTGCGGGTAGTCTCTACTTGGATACGACTGTTGTGTCGTTATTTACAAATTTTCTACACAACGGAAATGTTATTAACACACTCGAAAATCGTCATTGTCACACTAGTTGCTTTCTTATCTGTTTTCCACTATTGGGACATACAGAGATTTTTCTATTGCATTTTCCGAATTCTAACGAAGCCGTGTAGGACCAAATGATATCGAATGCATGATGGAGATGGCTAGCCTAAGAAGTCTTGGCACACCAATTAGTCTTTGGTGGAAAATCCATGTGCAGCCGAGACTATGAATAGTTAAGTCTCCTCTAGCGTCTGTTAGGGAGCAGAAAATTTATCACAATTGACGACAACAAAATCCAAAAAAGAATATCCCTTGCCGACAACAAAATCCAAACAAGAACAAAACAAGCAAACAACCCGAAAAATACTTAAAACAAGAACAGAAGCATTTGTTTGGAACTCTGGTTTGCAGCAACGAGTGGTAGAGAGACAATTGATCCGATGTTTGTTTCAATAACCCAGTGCAAGTATATTTGTAAAGGGAGATTTTTAATTTGAAATGTCGTACGAACTTGTACACATTTTTTAATTTGTCATATAAACTAAAATTTTAGTAATTTGCCGTACCAACTTTCCGAAATCATTAATTTGTAATCTCGTCCTAACTCCGTTAAGTTTTCCATCCAAAATAAGTCGTGTACCTTCATTTAAGTTGTGATCTCACCCTAACTCCGTTCAGTTTGTCATATAACTAATATTGTACACTATCATATTTCCTTTAGTTTGGACTTTGGAGTGTCCCTAAGCTAATATGAAAAAGAAGGGTTTATGTGACGGACTATGACTTAGCAATTTGGCTTTTCTATACACCTATTCGTGTGATTGTTGAAAACAATTATCTTACAAAGCTTTTTGGGAAGAGATTTTTACACACTATCTTTAGTTTGCGACTCACTCCTCTTTATTTTTAACCATTGGATTGAATAAATCAAACAGAACCAACGAATGTGTGAGTTGTTAAAAAACGTGTCTTTATCATTTTCTTTTTCTTTTTTCCACAAACCAAATTAGGAAATAAGTCTGAAAGAAGATTTCCCACATTTTTTTTCTCCATTCACACTTTTGTTTATTAATGAATTTTGGGCCGAATAAAGTAGAGAAAAATCAAGGAACAAAAACAACATGAAGTGTGCTTGTGTGCGAAAATCATTTATGACCTAGCAAGTAGTTACAATTAGTAGAAAAAGTATTATGCCTCTAGTATTACGATGATACCCCTCCATACTTGTAAAGAAAGTCACATGTTTGAATCCCAAGATAACTACACTTGACCTATTGTGTAGCTTCTGCCCAATTTCTCTTTTTGTAGCTTCTGCCCTATCCTTTTCTCCCTATGGAAAAGAGAGGCAGACGTAATCGTTGCATACAACGGGTTTAAGCTAAAAAAATTTCTTCCGAAGCCCCAACCACAGCATGTAGCACGTTTGGTCGTGGAACACCACCGTGCAATGCCCGAAAAACCTCTTGTTCAAAAAGAAAGCACGAAAAACCTCTTTGACACCAATTCGATATCAAATTAAAAGAAAACATCGAATCCTTTCTTTCAAATTAACAATCCAACAGCAAGCTAAATCTTTCCATTCAAAATTCAAAATTTCTGTCAAGCCATCAAAATTGTTATCCAGCCACAGCAACATGCGAAAACTGCGACTGCGAGCCACTCTCGCAACCAACTTAGTCTCAATCTATAGCAGCATTGCCAATTTGCAGAAGATATTAAGCTATAGTAAGTTAATTACAACTATATCAACAACCTCTATACTTCCACAGAAGAAGTAAATCACTCAACTAGATTGGCCCTAACACTAAAGCTAAAGTATATCAACAACCTCTACACTTTACGAGCCAGGGTCCTCTGCTTGGTCGCGTGCTGTACTAATTTTTCCTCTACAGGAAGCCCCTTCTTCCGTCTTACAGCGTTAATTAGTTTCCTTGCAGTATTGGGAAGCACACTAGAACCGTCACCAAGCTCCTCAAGTTCTTCTTCTGTCTTCGGTACAAAGAAAGGATCCTCTGGAAGTGCTGCCCATTGACTAAGCACAAGAAGAGCACTTGCAGCACCAGCAGTCCATCTTCTAAGCTCATCCGCAAAACCAAAGCTTTCAGAAACAGGAACATATGCATGCACAGTGAACAATGGGGAGCCTTCCCGCATTTCCTCCTTTAAAACTCTAGCCCGCCTTCGCCCAAGCACAGCGTACATAGAACCCAAATGTGCAGTTGTCGTGTTCAATTCACAGAAGTACATGGCTTCCACAAGCCGAGGCTTCTTTTGAAGCCCTACCTCCAAGAATATCTCCAAGTAAATCAGAACTATCTTCAAGTACTTTAGTTAAAGAAGGAGACACTTCCAGGCTTACCCTTCAAATCTTCCATGCATCTTTCAAGATGTACCTCTCCTGCAGCAGACACAACATTTTCTCCCCTATCAGAAACTGTTACCCCAACAAATGGGTCAGCCCGGTTCAACAGCTGCAAACCCTTAGTCAGAAGCTAGATTCACGCAGCAATAGCTGTTACAACAACAATGCGTTCAGTTCCCACGTCATAATTTCTTAGCAACAACATGATGTTACACTTCAATGAGATCATAACATAAATGCATGCAACACAACATACCGATGTGAACTGCAGTACCAAATGAACAAAAGAATTTTGTAATCCTGAAAACACTAGAGTAAACAGACGCCATCAGTAGAAGCGCTACGAAATATGGCTTCTTTATGACAAGCTTGATGGATGCCCTTCATCATGTTACACAGGCTTCAACAAATGAAGGGGAAAACAAGTCTACTAGATGATGCTGAAGTCTTTATCTCTTGAATTGTTAACATTCTTATCTCCACCCCTCTAAGCTGAATCGGAGTGGAAGCATCTCCAATGGTTTTATTGCTGCGAACGCCACTGAGATCAGGGCTAGAGTACTTTTCGTATGTGACCTTCAAATTTCCCACTCTTGCAGCTTTGTGAAATCTTAAGACCATCTCTGCACAGTCTATGCAACGATCAAACATCAATCATTAAAATTTATTCTGCAGCAAGCACTAGATAAGGAAACAAAGTTATTTACTTGTCTTTAAAGCTGTACCTGATTTGGGATACTTCGTAACGAGCGGGGTCCAAGCCGGAGTAATCTGCTGGGTGCACCTTGCGACAGATAGGGCTGCTGCACACAGCAACGAGGGCTTGAACCTTAACGCTTCATACTCAACCAAGCACAACTCGATAAGGTAGAACCAAGTGTTCAAGCTGCAAAACAGTCCGCAAAGTAACAGCCTGTTAGCAACTTTGCTGTTATCTAATCCATATCAAGAACTAATATCCACTAGACTCTGGCATGTCAATCTCTTTCTTTATTAGTAATGGTGTTAATCATTAATCAAAATTTATGTCAGTTAGCTTTAGAAACTACTGAATGCCTTTGTTTCTGACTGAGCAGCCTTGAGAAATCTTAACATGAAGACATATGGAGTAGGTGCATTAAGACGAAACTTCAGCTTTTTCAGAAAGGCTTTCTCCTGAAAAGCAAAGACGGTGTTTATTTTAGGACAAGCGAAAAGGGAACTATAGAATGCAGCATTATTCATCTCATAAGATATGCACCAGGACATTTTCAGATTCTAACAAATCAGATATACTGAATTAATCCGAGTCTAAGAAAAGCACAAACCATTCCGAGCACCTTTACTCTGGTGTATGTCTCAACTAAGATGCTAATTAAATTTTTGACCCGTAATTTTTCTTGTTGTAGATAATTAGAAAGAAAATCACAAAAAAATGCATATGAGTTGAGATATTGATATTTACCCTTGGATGCCAAAAGTCCTCATATTTTGATGCCAACAAGAGTGCAGTGATACCAACTAACTGCATGTCATCCTTCTTAATTGTAACTTGGGAAAGATGTTGATCGAGCAATGTCACCATGAGAGAGTTTCTTGCATTAACTCGAATTTGTAATGTACCTGTTCCGGATGAACAAATCAAGGGGATAGCCAGCTATTAAACATCATGAAATGTAAAATTGAACAAAGCAAGACAAAAAGGAATACAAAAACATCATAGTTCATCAAAAGGTTAAATCGGTACTTCAATTAACCAGTTGACCAATATGCCTCGCATATGATGAGTAATGCCTGCCTGAATCGACATAAAATTTTCTGGAGGTGGATTCTGTGCCTGCAGTTAAAGACAATTTTAACACAGCCAACAAGTCAGAATCAGAACTACACTAAACCTACTATCTTACCACACTAAGATGAAAACAGTGGTATAGAGACATCATAATCATTACCTCAGAAACCCAGTAATACTGATAGATCTCATCAACATAATCGGAAACTTCCAGTTGATTGCAATCGTCATCAATACTTGGCAGCTCTTCCGCCTTCAAAGCTTCAACACGGTCCTCTAGTAACCGCAAATAGGGCCAAGTGTGAAAGTAGTTCACGAGTAAGGAAGAAAGGCATCAATAGAACACGGTAAGCCCCAACCCTTGATCCAGTCATCAATAGAGATGTGTAAGATCTCCTCCTATTTGATTTGATAGTTGAAGCACTCTGGCTGCAGTTGGCTTCAGATGGGAGCTCGCCCTGAGTGGCTTCATGCTTAACGTTCTCAGGAAGAGAAGTAGCCACTTTTTCAGTTTTGGATGAAGTTGCAGTAGCAGAAATTAATTTGTTTGGACGTGATGCACCCTTGGATTTCAAAGTCCTTTGCGACTCACGAGCCTTCAGTGTGGACAAAGTTTTTGTAATAAAATTAAAGGGAAGATAAATAGAACGTACATCTACTTCATATAGATCTAACATGCCAAAAAATAAAGTCAGGATGATGCCGTAATCTCATAGTAATGTAAAGCAATCACTCAGGCGAAGTACTAAATTGAATGCACTGCCATAAAGCTTCAAGTTGATGCCAAAATGGTTGCCATGTTAAGCAATAACACAAGTCAACAGATTTCAGGACCAAATGACTTCAAAAAAATTGAGAGATTGTTGAAGTACTGAAAGTAAAATATGGCGACACAAGTGAAATTGTTTTACTGTCTGAAGTAGACAAACTTGAGCAACTACATTTCAGAACTGGTGAAACAAAACGACACATTAATTCTTTTTTCTCATTTGAGGAGAGGGAGGGACATGAATTCTATTTCTGATTAGACTTACCCTGACCGAATTTCTTGGCAATACACGGACATTTGAATTACGCTAACCCGTGCAATCTCAAATCACATCCAAACTATTAACAGATAGAAATCTCAACCGTGTTTCAATAAGACATAAAAGCTTAAATGATCATTCAACATAAGAGACATCCAATGAATTAGAAAGTTAATGAATGTAGTAATTCAAACTATAGTAGTAAAGACAAATAAAATGAATACAGAAGCCCATCAAGAGTAAAAAACAATGTGACTAAACCTAAAACCAAACTCTCCAATGCAGCCATTCGAAATCTATATGCTGCAACTTTCACGACCAAAAATTGTATTCCCATGTAGCATTATAATATCAATTCGTAGTTACCAGGGGGCAAGAAAAATGATAAATTTTCCTTTTCCAGGAACATATTAGAAAGATCTAAAAATAACTGGGAGGAGCCACAAGATTCATAAAATTTGGGGTGAACTGCAGAATACAAGTTCTTTGTTGTACTCCCTTATAGTTTTACTTTTGCATCTGCTGTTATTTGCTTTGAGTTCTGAAATTGACATATTAGTCATGCCTGAAGTGAGAACAAACAATCCTATCCATAAAATGCAAGAAAGATGCTTCCATTCCATTCATTCAGAAGCAAAAAGAGGTTTAAAGGAATATGCACCAGTATCAGCAAAACCTTTTAACTAAATTTAAGCGGGATAGAAAAGTAGTAGTATGGATCACTGTCACTCACATAATCACAAAGATATCACTCACTCGATTCCTCAACAGATGGCTCCTCGTGGTATCGTTTACTCTAGGTACTACTTTCTTGCCAACCGGAGCCTTAATTGTATTCCGAAATGCCATTTGGTCAGACATCATGTGCCACGCACTTGTCAAATCTTAAATATTCACGGCATCTTACCATAATACCCCCTTTTTCCTTCAGAATTTCTACCAGCATTTTCCTACAAGCAGGAAAGCAAAACATATAAACGTCCAACTTGAAATCCTACTCCTGTTAAACTGAACCAAGGACATTATTATAATGCATGACATCAACCTTCGGAATACTTGCTTCCTCTGGGTTGACCTTTAGCACCAGCAATGATCTCCTTTAAAATGGAGAGAGGAAATAGAAAATATATCAATAACAGATACAGATCTTATCCACAGTAAATAAACAAACATGTCTGCAGGTCAGACACGTTATCAGCTTAAGTGAAGTATTTGAAGTCCTCCTGAAAAAAAAGTTATAAGTTTAATCAAGGGTCTTTATATGTTTAGTTTCATAAGCATATGAGCCGGATTAGAATATTTCAAAAGCACAACAAACAAATTGCGGCACAATTTCTAATTTCTTATAAAGACGGAAAACAAAGGTGGCTCAGACCTGCCATCAGTAACAATAGATTCACGGTTTAGACCCATAGCCTTGGTCCTTTGATTCTCTGAAGGTGCCTTCAACTCTTTAATAGCTACAGTTTATCCATAATAAAAAAAATTTCAAATGGTACAATTGAATCCGGGAAACCATACCAGCATTTCTGAAGTATTAAAGCTTTCCCGCCCTTTTCCCTGATTGAAGTAACACAAAAATCAATTCTTACAATTGGAAGAACAACAATATATGAAATGATTGGCATTGATACTCGCTAAGCTTGTCAATAAAAACAAAACCTGTCTTTGTGTTGTCAAACATAAAACGGAACAGTGGAAAACAAAAACTTAGTTGACCTTCAAAAAGAAAAACATGGACAGGAAGAAAACTTTTTAAGTTTTGCAACTTTTGTCCAGTTTGGGGGTAGAACTATATGAAAACTAACTTGAAGTACCCTGCTTAAAGGCTGTAAGTAACTATGAGATCTTTGAACCACTCATATGAGGGCTCTTTTGTTTATTTTCAGATTACAAAGAGAAATCTACTGAAGTCAGTAGAACAACATACTACGCAATCATGTAAATAAGAGAGTTACAAGGAATATGCATGCTACGATTTAACATTCTTACCAGCAAGGGATATCCTTGATGATAAATTCACAGTCTTAACGCCTGTACCCACTGAAACCCTACAAAAATACAAAAGAATACAATACTACATTAAAACATAAGCAAAAGCAAAGGATCTCGAACCTAGTCACACCTTTGCTAACATCTACAGTTATATCAAAATATCAAAAGAATATTGAACTCACAAGCACGTATAGGTATCATAATATCAAAATGGATAACGCTGCAAAGATTTAATCCTCTCACCTTAACCGCTCCTGCATTGAAGATGGCCCAAATTTAGAACTTCTTAGCTCAAAATCCAAAAATGAAGGAACTATATGAGCAAATGAAAAGGTACCAACTTTCTTTTAGAGGCATCACCCCCAACAATCCTAGAAGAGTTGCTTTTGCCATTGCAGACATCGGCCAATGCTCTTCTTCCAACATTTGCATTTGCTAAGAAAAGGACAACAAAAATTTGAAAACGGAACAGATTCAAAATGTGTAACTCAACTTTGCATAACAAGTACAGTCTGGTTGAACCTTACCTGCAAGAACTACCAAGTATGCCTTTTTGCTTCTCCATACATTTCAAACCAGCCTTCATAACAAAACAATTTATGGATAGCAGTAAATATCTAATTAAAACAAAAACTCCTTATCACAAGAAATAACACTCCATCCTAATCCACCTCAAAACAAGCAGCGGAATAAGGAGGTCGTTAGTTACCTTTAAAGAAGCTGCATTCTCCACAGCCGATACTTTGTTAACTGTTGCATCACTACCGAAATTAAACGCAGCACACAGATATAATTCCCCCGAACAATCTAGGCAATTGCCAAGAACTTGCAGGAAGTGGGCAGATACAGCTAATATCTAATACTTTTTGGCCTCTACTTAGCGACATCATTGTACAATGCTCCCATTCTATTTGAATTGTTAGCACAGTTTGCATACAAATAAAAATCCCAAGATTTAAATTCTGGAAGGAAGGCTTAGTTGATTTTAGTTCTAAAACAACTTAGACATTGATTAAAACCATAACATTCGATAATCGAAATGAAATTGCACAAATTTAAAACTACAATTACCCGATCCCAGCATCAGCTTTGGCAGTGTCACTTTCTGTATAAACCTTAAAACTTGAGACACCAACTGTTTAAAATATCGAAAAAGAAGGTCAGAAGTAAATAAATCACCACCACAAGACCTTAAAACCAGCAGAAGAACCCAGAATTGCGGTTCCACACCACGTGAGCATGTTGAGTTTTCTGTCCTACGCCGAATTCTGGCTGAAAATTACGAAAAACCAAGCAGGGTTTCGCAGATGTCAGAACTGATTTCATCCAAAGGAAAAACCAGAGAAAGAAATCAAAGAAAGTTATCCGGGAATCGAAAACCTTTATGGATTTTTCCGACCTTAGCAGCCAACATTTTGCTTCTCTCTACAAGTGTGGTAGTGCTCTGCCGATGATCCAATTTCTAGAAAAAACCGAGAGAATTTCAATCAGTTCAAGACAAAATTCACGAGAAAGCAACTTCCACAAAAGAAACCCATAATTGTACGAACAGTAATTCAAATTTCAAAACGCAGCCCCAATTGAATTGATTTTTCGAATAAATTCGATTTCTCAAGAATTACATGGAAACGATAGTTTGTCGATAGATTTGTAGGAGGAAGCGTACCTTAAACGACGTCATTTTGGAGATATCTCTTGCTCTTCTCGGATTCTGATCTTCGGAGATGGAGCGGAATGAGAACAGTCGACCGTTGCAGAGGTCTGAGTCGTCTCGTTAAATCGGCGGTCTTTATTTTCGTTTCATGAAATAAACGCGATTGTACGTTACTACCCCTTCCCTAATTTTTTTGGTTTATGCGATTGATAAGTACAAACTAGAAATTTTAATTAATTCCAAGTTAATACATAATTGTTTGTGGGAACATTTATTGAAAGGTAGAATTTTTTTTTATTCAATACATAAGTTGCAAGTCCCATAAACCAAATACAAAGGAAACCACAAGTATACATAGTACTATCAAACATAAGAAAACATTCTTTGAAAACGGGCCACTTTCAATGCAATTGCTAGTGCTACCTTGTCTTTGATGTTGTCGAAGAACTGAAAATATGCATACCTCCATGATGTCTTTAAGATCAATGTGCCGCAAACCCCCCAAAAGCCTACAATAAAGCCAAGTACCATGCTGATATAGAACCACAACTCATCATTTCCACCTTCATTCATGTCTTTTGTATCCTTAGATGGGAAAGTGTCATCTCCAGGGCACTTAGTTGAGAGAGGAACGCCGCATAGCGATGGATTTTCCATATAAATGGACAGATCAATGAGCGTTTGAAGCTGGTTTCCTGAAGGAATTCTTCCAAACAAGTTGTTGTAAGACAAGTTCAAGTGGGATAATGAGGTTAAAGATGACAAGCTTTGAGGAATCTGTCCTGAAAGGTGGTTGTGTGAGAGATCAAATGTTTTGAGCCAATGCAAGTTTTCGATCTCGGAAGGGATCTTTCCAGTCAATTGATTCCTAGACAAGTTCAAGGTACCCAATAGAATGAGGCTACTTATTTCTTCAGGGATTTCACCTTGTAAAGTATTTGATGAAAGATCAATACTCTTTACAAGATATATAGTATTATTGTACACAAGTTCCCTTCCTTTTAGTGTCAGTGTGGTTTGCTCATCAGAGTCATAAGAAGTATCAAACGATGTATATGAATCATTGACCAGTGAAGCCAAATTACCCAAACACTTGGGAATAGTACCTGAAATGTTGTTGTGACTAAGGTCGAGGATATGAAGTTGTTGAAGATTGCACAGTTGCTGGGATATATGTCCACTAAATTTGTTGGACCGTAATCGTATCATATTCAACATGGATACATTTAATCCTCCTATCCACTGTGATATTTTGCCAAATAACTTGTTGTCTCCAAGATCAATACTCGTCAACTGAGAACAATTTTGCAAGGAATTTGGAATTTCACCGTCAAGGTTGTTGAGCTTTAATACTTCCAGTGAAATTAATACCCCCAATGATGTGGGAATATTACCCGAGAGATTGTTTTGACTAACATCTAGATACCTCATATTGCTCCCCACACTCCATGCATGACGAAATTCTCCGTGAAATTGATTGCTCCTTAGAGACAAGATTTGCAACTGCTTCATGTTGTAAACAAAGGGAGGAATAGTGCCATTCAAATGATTCTCAAAAAGAGACAATTCTTGCAATTGCTGCATGTTACAGATAGAGCGAGGAATATTGCCATTCAAATGATTCTCAGAAAGATACAAAGAATTCAAATTGGGCATCATCTGGTCAATATTGGAAGGAATTGGACTATTGTAACCCTACCGACACGTAATTGGACGGTGAAAAATCATGCGGAGCTACCTTTTTTGAAAAAAACAAAAGAAAAAAAAAAGAAATATCAAAGAGAATCTTTCAAAATAAAATTTTTCATCAACTATTGAACACTTCATGTTTTTTATATAATTTCTTTATCAATATTATAAAATATTTTGTCAAAAAAAAAGGTGACAGAGAGTACAAGTGAAGAACGTTGACGGTTAAGATTGAAGTTTCACTACATATATGAATGGTGGGTACTGATACATATTGAAATATCTAAACCCAAAGTCAACCTCGGGTCAACAAAAGAAAAAGTCATCCACGTCCATTAAGTTGATATAAAATCGTGTATCCCAAAACGTGTGGCAACAACGTCTTGTTTTTCATACTTGCTTCGCGTGAGACGACGTCCACACGCGAGAGATATTGGTCTTCCATGGATTTTTGCCGGGAATCAGTACTGGTGACTATCGAATCCTATCCCATCTTCTCACTTCCTCGTTAACAAGATTTCTTCACACACCTATTTTTGCTTGTCACAAATCCTTTTTAATTTTAAGCAGTCAAATCAAATGAGTTGAAGAAGATTTATTATAAAAAATTAATAAAGAGGTGTGAAAGGTAAAAATAAGTGTTGATAGAAAATACAGTCGCTTTTAATGCCGAAGGTCTATCTCATTCGTTGGAAAGTAGATTATCGTAGCGAAGCGTGGTAGTTCATATAGTTGGCAATGGCGTTGGGATATTAATGGCAAAATTTAATGCCCAAGGCCAAGCATTGAAATATGTAACGCCACAACTGCTGGTTCATATTTGGTTCCGAGAGAATATTCAATGTGACCAGTACACAAGATGGTATACCACTCGTCACTATACAAATATTAGGATATGTATGCTAAAAAGTTAATAACTTAAGAAATAAAATTTCCCACAACTTCCATTAAAACACGTGGTGTACCACTTATGTTCCCTTCACAATTAAAAATTTCTCATACAGTTGCAAAAACTCAATAATTCCTTCCAATCCACCAAATACAACAGCAACAATGCTTTGTCCCGCTAAGCGGGATCGGCTGTATGTCTCCCGGAACGTTACTGTGCTTTGATTTGCGTCAAGTCTGCCGTCATCTTCGGGTACTCCATATCTTTTCTTAAAGTCTATTTCCAATTATAAAAAATTAATCAAGATGTATGAAAGGTAAAAATAAGTGCTGACAGAAAATACAGTTGCTTTTAATGCCCAAGGCCTATCTCATTCATTGAAAAAGTAGACTATCGTAGCGAATCGTGGTAGTTCATATATAGTTGGCAATGGCGTTGGGATATTAATGGCAAAATTTAATGCCCAAGGCCAAGCATTGAAATATGTAACGCCACAACTGCTGGTTCATATATAGTTGCGAGAGATTTTTCAATGTGATCAGTACACGAGATAGTATACCACTTGTCACTATACAAATAGTAGGATATGTGTGCTAAAAAGTTAATAACTTAAAAAATAAAATTTCCCGCAACTTCCATTAAAACACGTGGTGTACCGCTTGTGTTTCCATCACAATTAAAAATTTCTCATATAGTTGCAAAAACTCAATAATTCCTTCCAATCCACCAAATACAACAGCAACAAAGCTTTGTCCCACTAAACGGGATCGGCTATATGTCTCCCGGAACGCTACTGTGCTTTGATTTGCGTCAAGTTTTCCATCATCCCTGGGTACTCCATTCTTTTCTTAAAATCTATTTCCAAGTATTATGAGGTTTTCCTTTACTTTTTTTTTACCTTGACCCTCCGTCTTTTTCTAACAATAGCATTTGTAGGACTTTTGTTCACATATCCATTCATTTTAACCGATTTTCTCTCATCTTATCTTTAATTGTTACCACTCCTATTTTATATCGAATATCTTGGTTTCTAATTTGGTCCTTCTAATCCACCCAATAATTGGTGGAATTTGTGGCCATGTGTTTTCGATGGCACACCTTGACAAAAATATTGTTTGAAATTTCAATAAAATTGACCAAACTGCAAAGGCATTTACATAATTGAACATGTATTAGAACAACACAAGATGGTAGTCAGAGAGATTGAAATGCCTCTATGAGTTTTTCGACTTTTAAAAAGATGCATTTTCGTAGCTTTGCCACCATGTAGTCCTTTTCTTCAAAACAAAAAAGTAAACATGGTAATCAAATTCTTCATAAAGCCTTTTCATTCCTCATCATCACGAAAGTTTAAATTCATTCCTTGTCAATTTTATTCCCTTTCAATTTCGTTTCCCATTTACAAATTAGAAAAACATTTATAGTGGGAGGTTTTTTAATATACTCAACAATAATATGCGGAAGTTGGCCACTTGGCATATAGGGTCAATTCGTATTTAAGAATTCAAAACGACATGCAGGAAATTAGCCTAATTAGGCGAGCTTCGGTCATTGTCTGTTTGAGGATGACCTAACATGGCAATCATAAGTGTAGAGTTTGCCATAACGTGTGTCGACATCCAGTATATATTAGAAAACAGTGTCTGCGCGTTATTGCGGGATTAGAAATTGCAAAATAAATTGTATCAAAGATATAGAAGATTGTAATATAGAAGATTAATATTATTTACGTTGAAAACGTTAAGAAGATGTTTACATGCAAAAAAGATTACGATTGGAACATGAAAAGTTTTCGTCATGTACCGTTGGTTGAGGTAGCAGAAGATGTTGTCCCATGAACTGAGCTAGTAAAAGCTAGTAAAAGCTGTATTTTAAATCATATGGTGTTGCGTTTACTCCAATAAATTTTTTTTTTAAAAAATGGTGAAAACAGTTATGATAGAAATTCAATTAGCAAAGATACAACCCAGTGAGAATATGAATTTATAAATTAGATTCACTCACATAGAAACAATTACCTTAGCATTTGCTAACTTTGTATAAGTTGTTCATGAAGCGCAATTTAGAGCATTATTCTTGAAACTGTAAATCACAAACTTGTTAGAGCAGCACTATTAAGTATTAACATGAATGGATATATTCATTGACCACTTTTAAAAAGTAGAATCTCAAATGAGATGAAAACTGTACATTCACTAAAAAGTAAAATCCCAAATGAGATGAAACAATCAAAGATTCTACTCATATAAATATGTGAGCATGAATGAATATTCAATATGAACATAAAATTATTCTCTTAATTCTGTGAAAATAACGTAACAAAACTTAAAACGTACTAACCGTGTCCCTTTAATGCGGATATTGTCAATGTTCACCCTATGAATCAAACCTTGAAATGGTTGCTCTCAAAAAAAGGCAAACACTATACTCCTAAGGATGTAACGTATGTATTCCATATCTACCAAAATAATTCCAGAAATGATACATTGGAATGATGTTTTAGGTCTTCCAATATTAAAAGGTTAGAAACCCAGAAGACAAAACACCACAATTCATTAAATTCAAAGTTGCGCATATTTCTTCTATACCTTGCATATCATGTTTTTTATACGATTGTGACTAAGACCTGATTTCTCTTTGATCAGCCTGGGCAAAAGCCCACAATTATTCTACAAACTCAACACATTATATACATAGAGGAAATTGCTAATGTTAAAATTCAAATAGATTATTCTCTGTAGAAATCTCAAATAGATTATATATCAAAATTCAAAAATAAAGATAGAGAAAAACATTATGACTATTGAGCTAGTATTGAATAATGGGTTCACTATATTTATAACTGAAGAAATGCAATCCACCATTAAAATTCTATTAATTAAATAGTTACCCCTATATCTTTTGCTAATGAATATTCAAAATATTTGGCGATAAAATAATGAATAATGGAATAAATTAATCGTCAATTAATTATCAACTAAAAATAATATTCATTAAACCCTACAATAGAGTACATCTACTAAACAGAAGTTAAGATAACTAATATTGAATTTGACCTACTATTTTACTTGTATATTTGTTTTTTAAATTCGGTATAAAATTTGTTGAATGGATACGAAACACCCAACTCTATTAAATGCAATATTTTTTTTAACAAACGATATTATCCATATTAAGTGGATGGAGGAGTGGGTTAATCCTCACAATGGATCAGCAATAATGTGGTTCAAATTCACCTTGGCAATAATAAAATATTAAGTATTTGGCAACATCTTCTAATTGTGCAATTTGGAAAGGCTGGATTCTCACCTTCTCCGGGGCTGCTTCTCCACATCAATCATCATGAGAGAGAGGGAGAAAGCAGGTATTCTTCAGTGTTTGAGTCCTGTATATTGGTAAAAAACCAATTAGGTACTTCGAATTACATAAACATTTTCAAATAGTTCAAATTGGAACTTGAATGAATCCTGAATAAAATGAAAATAATTACAGAATCTAGGAACAAACCATACTTTGTCAAATGGCATATTTAACCTGGCATATAAATATTTCCAAGTAAATTGATAGTTACCTCAAATCAAAATAGAATAGGATAAACCTTTTCTAAAATATTATGAATTAACTCCGAAAATTTTCTTTAACCCAGATCTTTTTGAAAAAAAATTTATATTAATTTGATGCTTTGTTTGGGTTTGGGAATTACGGATGGTTAAACAAAAATTAAAGAAATAAAATGACAATGTACTGATTTTGCAGAGATACCTGCTGATGGTTTTGTACCTTGGTGAGTAGTGTCATGAGTATTTCATAACACCGAATCTAAACGCAACATAAGCTAAACAACAAATAAAGTGATTCAACACATTCTGAAAGAAAACCCCCAAAAAAAAAAATAGTTAATTCAGTTCCCCTAACTAAACCCACAAAACACAACTAATCTCGAGAAGAATAAACTGAGAAAAAAGACATATAAATTTGCTTGACCAAGAAACTAAAAGATAAACCGCACAAAGAAATTATGCATATTTGAAAAGAATTCAACCGATTGTAAAATTCTGTTGGAAAAAAAAACTAATGACAGGATTTCAGGCATCAATATTCTTTACACTTAAAATGTCAGAAAATTTTTACATAAAAAAATATTTCATCGATACAGCCTGGATACAAAAAATTGTAAATTTTTTTTGTATTTACATGTATTATCTTTATGAAGTGATATGTATATATGTGTGTGTGTGTAATACTTAAGTTTCAGAATATATAAACTTCAGAACTTAATTCATTTTATAAAATAGAATGAAAAAGATGACTTACACTTTTAAGGCTCCAATATTGATATAAAGTTGAGTCAGTTGATTTGTGGCTACCAACTGTAAATGAAAAATGTAAATGCTAAGTTATATTACATGTTTAATTGTTTTGGCAAGTGCTAAGAGCTCGTTTGAATGTGCTTTTAAAATAATTGAAAGCGCTTTTAGTGAAAATATTTTTATAACCAATTTTTAGTAAAAATGCAAGTAAATCCTAGAAAAGCACTTAAATGCTTCCTCGAAGAAGCACATAACTGGTGTTTCTTGCAGAAAACACTTTAAATGCTTTTGGAACTCAAAAACATTTTCTCTAAAAGTGTTTTTAGTTATTTTAAAAATACATCCAAACGAGTCTTAAGTTATGTTATTATGTATGATAGCTTGCCAAATATTGATTAAAAAAAAAAACAGTAAAGGGTTAAAACTTGAAATACCATATTCAATCTACCATAATATGCCAGCATTTAAAGTTGAATTGTTAAAATTTAAATCTTAGGATCAACTCACCTTCCTTGATCTATTATGGAGGAATAAACAGAACGTTTCTTGTACTCTTCTTTAACCACTTCACTAAAAAAAAATTAATCTTTAAATATTAAAGCTGAAGATCTTAAATTCATAAGTTATAAACTCAATAAGCTAGTTAAAATAAACATCCACCACGACATAGAACGGAAATTAAGTTGTTTTGTTTCTGAACATTATTTTAGCAATCAAACGGAGGAAATCTGTGTCATACTAAACAAGCAGTGGTTGTTAAATTTAGTTCTTTAAATTTTGGGTAAATATCAGTTTATTTAAATTTCGTGATTTTTAACATTTGGTACATTAAGTTTTTTTTATTCTAGAGTCATACCTAAACAGTTAATTTTAAAACAATCTTTTAATCAAACTGATAACTCTGCCATTAAGTGATGACGTGGCTACGGGCACAATGGCCTTGAAACTTGGGTTGGTTTGATCTGGGTTTTCAAGTACTGCAGGGAAGTGTTGGCTGCTGCTGCTCCGCTCCCTCAACGCTCATTTTTTACACATCGCATCGTCGATCCGATCCCGGCTCCAATCCGCCAAACAGGTTCGTCCCCCGTCCCAAATCCCTAATGTGTATTGTTTATTTCTGTCCGAATTTTGATCTGATTTTTTTCCATATTTCCAGTAAATCATTTGTTATTCCTCCTCATCTCTCTCAGTGCTTTCACCGAAATTTTCAGTTCTTCGTTCGTATTTTGTTTCTGATTTTTGTTTGCGTTCAGTGTGATTCTACTTGCAGCCTGAGGTGTGATTTTAACTGAAGTAGCTAAAGTTAAGAAAGAACAATTGTGGCTTAAAGTCTTCATATTTGAAAGTTGAATCTCAGCCTTTGAGAGGCTTTTTGAACGTGTGCTCACGTATGCAGGGGATATCAGTATTTATTTGCTTGTTGGTTCTTAATTTTTGTGTTTCGTTTTGGATTTGTTAATATATCATTTTGTGCATCTCAGTCTGTGAATCGATGTTTTAGATTGGATTTTTGTGGCTTTGAATTTGTGTGCCTGAGAAGAGTTATCCAAAGGTTTGATTGAACATTTTTCCTCTTTCTGTTGCAATTTTGCTGTCGTTGTGGCCCTTTGTGAGACTTTGATTTGTTCTTTTTTTTTTTTTTTTTTTTTTTTTTTTTTCGCTTTGTACAACTTTTGTAAAAGTGAAGTGTTCGTTTTCAATTTTGAGATTGAATTCAAGCAGATTTCCAAGTTTTTTTTTTATTAATCTTAAATCATATTAGTTAATTATAGTTAAATTAATTTTATTTATTTATTTATGTTATGTTGCTGAAATAGCTAAAGTTGAGAAAGAACAGTTGGAGCTTAGAGTCTTGCACTTGGGAGTGTAAATTTGGATTTATAAATGGGTTTTTTTGTTTAAATATTTGGGTTGTAATATTGGGGATTTTGTTTGTGGCTTCGAATTATGGGTGATGGTGGTTAATTTGGTTTTGTTTTTGGTTTCAGGAGATCCGGTTTTTCGGGTTTCTGACGTTTCTTTGCAGCCTGCGAAGGCCTCTGTATTTAAGGTCAGCATTTTTAAAATTCTACGCTTTTTATTAGATTTGCAGCCTGACATGTAATTTTAAAGCTGAAATTTCTAAGCTTTTCGATTAATCTTAAATCAGATTAGTTAATTATATAAATTAATTTTTTTTTCTTTCTATTATGTAGCTGAAATAGCTAAAGTTGAGAATGTTGGATCTGTTGCCTTAGGGAAGAAATTTTAAACCTACAAAAGCTTGGTTTTCAGGAAATCGCCAATCCTGCAGACACTTTGGGTTTCCTGGTGAGTTCTCCGACTTATTTGTTTCGGGTTTGAGTTCTCTTTTCTTTGTTCAAATTTTTGTTGACTTTAATTTTAAAAATCAAGGTTTTTTTTGTTCAATGATTTTGTCCATCTTATTAGCTTTCTCACCAGAGATCTCCGCCATCACTGCTCCACCAAACTCGCTGATAGCGTCCACTCTCTCAAACCAGGTACGACTTCTTTCACTTTCTTTTGTTTCCGGGAAAATTTAGGGCTCGAAAGTGTGTAGAATTTTAGAAGTAAAAAAAAATCTCGATCTTTGTGTCGTCCTGTACAACCATCTTATTCTACCATTGTAGCATAAAGTTGCACATATTATTTGGTTTGTAGATAGAATTATTTGTGTTTTTTAGTAGCATGGGAATCTGTAGTCAACATATCATTTTCTGCAAGACTGAAGATTAGTCTGTAATGGATATACAGATCTTTGAGAGGACACCCATCATTTGGCTGATTGCATAGGATTGCTACATCTGAACACTGTACAGGTATAGTTTCTTTTTATATTACCTTGAATTAACAAAATATGGTACTTATCTTCGTTAATTCGAGAAGATAAGAACTGTTTGTCGTCAATTCAAGGTGACATTAGCTTCTCCTCAACTAATGTCTGCCCTGTTCCTTTTACTTTTATGTCTACCTTTTTTGTTAACAAATCGTTTGGCCTCCCATTTTTTACCACACTTATAGATAATAGTAAAATCAAGCTTAAATGAGATAGTTTTAGGAGGAATTTAGGTTTATTTGTGGCTGTGAAGTTTAATATTTAGTTAATTACATTTACAGGCGATGAGATAGTTTTTGCCTATTCTTCCACTTGGTTTTTGAACTGCACAGAATTATGGTTTTGTAAAATTGACAGTCAGCCCGTGCATTAAATGGACTGTTTATTATCTTTGAGTTAATTAGATTCAAGCAATTGAGGTTGAATAACTTTTTGATCATCAATTGTTGATGCGCTACTAATCTAATTGGGTACGTTGTATATATGCATGACCTGATGGTATTCCTTTAAATTACTTATATGCAAAAATTGTTTTCTGTGATGGTTCTAAATGATTTGTTAGATGCTATTTTGGCTTCAGTTGTTTTTATTTTTCTTCTACTGATCCTTTCCTATGTGGTTGATTTATAGGCCTCTTGAATTTTGAATTGTGATTGAAAATTGGAGTCCGCACATGGAGTATAGGTATAACCACTACTTATTTTTCTTATTACTTTTCCTTTAAATGTCTTTTGAGTCTGAGATTGAGTCTCTATAGATTGTAAATTTCAGACACATGCATACTTCAGTGCATACAAGAAAGCCAATGTTTTTCTTTTAGGTATAAAGAGCCAAATACGTTATAATATATATATATATATATATATGTATGTATGTATGTATATATATATATATATATTTCTTCAATGAATGCTTTGCTGTTTTTACTTTTAATTGTTTAGTTTAATGGTTGTTTGGATCCTTAAAAATATTCTTCGTTCAAAAGTCTTTTTGGATGGATAATTAAATCGATATAGATTATGTTACCTTTTGCTGTATCAGATTTGTCATTTTCTTACTGGCTTCAGTTCTTTCATTTTTTTGGTTTGTTCTGTATATTTAAATGGGTTTTGTTTGTTCTTTTCTTTTTTTCTGGATATCGTTTAGATTGATATTGTGAATGTGTTGTTTGGTTCTGTTTTTTATTTCAGGAGGTGCGGCTTTTCGTATTTTTGGCCTTTTTTATCAGCTGTTGTAACATTTTTGTAATAGAGGTGAGTAATTTACATATTTTTTCAAGCCTTTCTCTAAGAAAGTAATAATTTTTTATGAAAGTTGTGAGACTTCACTTCTATATTATCTCATGCTTAAATGTGTTTGATGTTATTTTATGAATATGTTAAATGGGTTAAGATGCATATTGTTGTTTACAGAGTAAAAAATAGTTAGCTGCTGTTTTTTGTGTTTTGGGGATTTTATCAGATTTGAAAGAAGACGGAGACGAAATTAATTTTGAACAATCTGTGTTTGGGGAATGCAACATATCGGATCTAGGTTATACTGTGCAAAGTTTTATTGTGTGTTGTTATCTGCGCTATACCATTTCCATGCAGGCTTTGAAAGTTATTCATGAGCTTTTATAAGCACTTTCCATATTTTAAGCTGTCTGTTTTGGGTTCTTTTCCATTAGGTCATTAGTTACTGAATGATGGAGAAAGGGGGAACATACCATTGATTTTGGGTTCTTTTTATAATTTTCTGATTTTGGGGTTTTGCAGGGAGCGCTGATGTACTGATTTTATGGGATTTTTTTTTTCCTTGCAGGATTTTGGGTCTTTGAAATGGTTACGTGTTGTTTTTAACTTTTTGGTTCTCCTGTGTTTTGTTCTTCATTGCTTCGTGATTCTCATTTTTCAGTATTGGGTAATGGAAATTTGTAAAAATAGTCGTAGTTTTTTTTTAGAAAGTTGGCATTTTTAGTTATATTTTATGTTTAATCCCAATTGTAAGACTGGAAAATAATTGAAATGATGGTTTATTAAAAACTCCTCTTAATTTTTATTTTCTTCTGGGATTTAAAAGCATCTTTTCCCGATTGGTTACAAGGGTTATGTTCTCTATAATTGGTTCACCATGTTTGATTAGTTTTAAGTTTTGTCCTGCTAAGTTTTGTCTTCTGTGTAATGAGATATTTCTTTTGGTCTTTCAGATTTCGGCATGGGAAAGCTCACTTATTTGTCTAATTAGATTGTGTATGCCTTCAGTTCTTTATTTAATTGTTCTGTTTGCGTTCGGTGTGATGATCAAAATTTTATATGTTTGGAATTATTCACTTAACACCAATTTGTTACATTCAGGTCTCCACCCCACACTTCACAAGTTCAATAGAAGGCGGTTTTGTAGATTGTGTCTGCAATTAGATTAGAGATCAACTGTTATTTTGTTATGATTTAAATTATATAAGTCGCGTGTAGAACGCCTCAATTACAAAAGGGTCTTCCGCACGCGTGTGAGTGCGTGTAGGGAGGCTAGTAGTAACTAAAGTTGATTTGAATGTGATGATGATGGCAACCACTAAAAACAAAACAACAATCTCCTTAATCTAGGAGAAAGAACCAAAAGGTGAGGAAGAAAAGAAATGAGGAAAGAGAGCTCTGCACGTGCAAATGTCAGTGTACATGTAAAGTAGAAATTTCTCTTTCGTGTTGTTGTTTATCTCTGTCTAGCTTTGGTATTTTGAGGGTCTCCGAGAATACAATAAACTGTGACACGGGTCTCAAAGCTTTCTTGTTGTATGATATCATATAAGTAAATGCTAGAATGCTAAGTTTTAACCAAGACCATACTCACAAGCAAAATACAAATACAAAAGTCCATTTTAAAATGAAGGTTGTGATTTATCGAAAGATGTTTCGTAAACATAGGAATTATGGATATGTAGGCATATGTATTGTAGCATTATGTGATGAGTAGGTTTATTTTCTTTGGGTATTGCATGTCATGATCACCACAGTGATGTTTGATGTTCTTCTTCAGGTGCTTCTGGGGATGTTGGAGCTGGGAAATCAAGTTTGGTGTTGCGCTTTGTAAAAGAACAATTCGTTGAATTTCAGGTTTGTTCTATATCTTTCAAAGGATGCATTTTCTTTTTTATCCATACCTTTGCTTTTATAGTATGTTATTACAAGAATCAATTGCCACCCTTAGTTGGTGGTATTATCTTTACAACACATTCAAAGCAGCGAATAAAATCACACTTGCTATTTTTTTCTGTCAATTGGACTACTAGAGTAGAACTATAGAAATATTTGGTGAAAGCAATGAAGAAATATATGCAGACTTTGATCAAAAGCCAGGACTGGACGGTTGATTTTGGGAACGTGTTCGATGTGATTCTAGAAGGGGTAGTGAATGCGAATTTGAAGCTAGATAAGATGGTCAAGAAGGTGTTTGCCTTGACCACATACAAACACTTCTTGACAGGCAGCAACTTCAGCTTCTGGGGGGAGATTAAGATGTCTCCCTTTGTTCTTCTAGTTTATGCTACTACTTTCACTTCTCCAAAGCTCTCCTTTCTTTGAGTTCTGATGAGACTAAGAGAAAGTATATATAGGGGTATATGTGTTGCTAATAAGTGTGTGTGTGTGTGTACATGTAATTGATACTTTTGTAGAGAAGAGCAAAGTGAGTGACAAGAACTAAAAAAGTGGGATTGGAAAATAGTAGGCTTATAACGTTCAAATTCTAACAGTCACTTTGAGTGGAGGCAATAGAAACGAATAAAATGTGGGGCCTGGACTTGTTGCCTCAAGTGATCTGGCACTGGCACTTCCAAATGTAAAGAAAAAGGGCACAAAGACAACTAGATGAGCACCACAGCCTTAAACGGGTTGATCTTGCTTTGGAATTTTTGATTGATTCGAGGTTATTTTTCAACTGAGATTTGCTTTGGTGAGCATGAACTTCCCTACATTTTGGTTTTACCCAGCCCTACCGTTGAGACCACTCATGTGAGAAACAATTAATAATCAAAGATTTTCTTCAGGTGACATTGATCGACAAACAATTAATAATCATTCATGTAAAAGAGTTGGCTTATGCAAAAACCTTACCAAAGAGTTACATTAGGGTGACACTAATGAATCAACAATTGGCATTAACTCATCTAGAGCCAACTCGTGGCTTTTGTTTATAGGCATCTGCTAAGATTGCTTATGTTTTATTATACATACTTGGCTATCAGATAGAAAAGGGTGGTGCTATTCACACCTATTTTACCTCCACCCATTCTTAATTTTCGACCGTCGGATCGAATGAATTAAAAAAGACCAAAAGACAAAAATTACCAAAAAAATGTGAGAAATTAAAATGGTAGTGTGAATAGCACCAACTATAGAAAAAGAAACATCCATTTTTTTTTTCCCTTCGATTAAAAGAGGAGATTTACACTGCAACATACTAACACAAAATTGACATGAAAGTTTGACTCAAATATCTATAAAATTGTATGTTATTTTAGATATACATCATCATAGCCAAAACCTTAGAGGCAGAAAAGACCCAAGGACAAGTACAGAGGTGCACAAAAGGATAAAAGGCATGCATAAATCATTTCCCATTATTTATCACCTTCCTTCTCTAATAATGCCAAACGAGCAGTGATTGAGTGATGTTTACAGAAGGCGCAGGGTGAATCCAAGGAGTGTTAGCACCACTTGCATTGCTTCCTTCCGACTGATAGTTGAGGCGAGCATTACTACCCTTGGATGCAGTTGATGGGGTACCATCATCCACCAAAAAGCTACCCGTTAACGATGTTGTTACATCTTTAAAATCATAATCTGTCAAATAGCTCGACTTCAACATGATAGTGCCTATGTCAATATCTCCAGAGAGCATTGCCAGCACGCGTGACATAGATGGCCTTGTCATCGGTGATGCCTGCGTGCACATGAAAGCTGCTCTTATCAGTCTAGTCGCTTCAATTTCGTCAAACTCTGTCAATCTCGGATCCACCAACGCCAGAATTTGGTCGTTTTCATGCAGAGTCCATGTCTGAAAAACATTATGCCATGGTCCAAGGAAAGGGTGAATAAGTTTTGCACAACAATGCCAAAATACAGCTTAGGGGAATGCAATTCCTACCCATTCAAGAAGATAAATCTTTTCTGGATCTAAGTTATTGGTAGAGTTTGGTCTCCTGCTGGGGATCTACAAAGGAACGACTCCAATACTAAACACACCAGCCTTATCTGTCAAATGTCCACGCATTGCATACTCGGGTGCCAAATAGCCTCTGCAATGCAAGATAATCAAATGGTTGTACAATGTTTCTTGAGATCATTAGTCGCATTGTTAACATGATGTGTATTAAAATTTCATGCAAGTATAAGTGTGTGTGGCTATAATATATGTAACCTATGGAAAAACAATGAAGGATGGCTTACATTATCCTTGCAACCTGGGTGCTGATGTGGGTTTTCTTGTCATCATAAAGCTTTGGCAATTCAAAATTTGATATTTTTGGGGGGAGTTTTGCATCGAGCAAAATATTAATGGCTTTGACATCTTGATGTACAATCCTTGGCCTTGACTCCTCATGGAGGTAAGCAAGTCTTCTTGCTGTTCCCAACAATATATTGAATCAAGTAGGCCAGCCAAGGTGCAAGTTACTTGTCTTTGAAATATTAGTGAACACATCCAATCAAAATCAAGGCTCAATTTATTGACCCAAAAAGGCCTTATTAAATTATCTGAATTCTCTGAACACATTCTTAAATTTTAGTGGTGGGATCTCCATCTAGTGGTGGTGGTTCATGAACATATCTATAAACATTGTGTATGAATAAGTAGGATATACATCGATCTGCTAAGGTGTATTCAAATCTGGCATGCCAGTCCCCTGCCCACTACCAAAAGCCAAAGCTAAAGTACAATTAGAATTAATTATTAAAATGTGTATTATATAAAAGGAAAGGGTCCAAAACAAGTACAAGGGTGCACAAAGGGGGTAAAAAGAGCATGTGAAAATCAGTTCTCGATATTTATCACCTTCCTTCTCCTCTAATGTTAGCTAGCAGTGATTTGAGTGACGTTTACAGAAACACCACTTGCATTGCTGCCTCCCGACTGATAGTTGAGGCGAACATTACTACCCTTGGATGAAGTTGATGGGGTATCATCCTCCACCAAAAATCTACTTGTTAACGATGTTGTTACATCTTTATAATCATAATCTGTCAAATAGCTTGGCTTCAATATGACAGTGCCCATGCCTATGTCAATGTCTCCAAAGAGCATTGCAACCACGCGTGACATAGATGGCCGTGCCATCGGTGATCCCTGTGTGCACATGAGAGCTACTCTTATCAATCTAGTTGCTTCGGTTTCATCAAATTCTGTCAATCTTGGATCCACCAGCCCCAGAGTTTGGTCGTTTTCATGTAGAGTCCATACCTAAAAAAACATCATGCCACGGTCAAAGGAACGTATAAATAAGTTCTTCACAACAATGCCAAAATGAAGCTAAGCGAAAGCAATTCCTACCCATTCAAGAAGATAAATCTTTTCTGGATCCAAGTTATTGTAAGAGTTTGGTCTTCCGCTGAGGATCTCCAAAACAACGACTCCAAAACCAAACACATCGGCCTTCTCTGTCAAATGTCCAAACAATGCATACTCTGGTGCCAAATAGCCTCTACAATGCAAGATAATCAAATGGTTGCACAATGTTTCTTGAGATCGTTAGTGGCATTATTAACATGATGTGTCTTATAATTTCATGCAAGTATAAATGTGTGTGGCTATAATATATGTAACCTATGGAAAAACAATAAAGGATGGCTTACATTGTCCCTGCAACCCGGGTGCTGATGTGGGTTTTCTTGTCATCATAAAGCTTTGCCAATCCAAAATCTGATATTTTTGGGGAGAGTTCTGCATCGAGCAAAATATTACTAGCTTTGACATCTCGATGTACAACCCTTGGCCTTGACTCCTCATGAAGGTAAGCAAGTCCTCTTGCTGTTCCCAACAATATATTGAATCGAGTAGGCCAATCAAGGTGCAAGTTACTTGTTCCTGAAATATTAGTGAACACATCCAATCAGAAACATTTCTTAACAATTTTAGAGTGCTTGAAATTGCAAACAATGTTATTTTTATGCAACCTAAAGGTAGATAGGTTTGTACCAAAAAGTGCCTGATCAAGGCTCTTGTTTTCAAGATACTCATAAACCAAAATGTGGTGGCTGCCTTCAATGCAGCATCCATACAATTTCACTAAATTCCGATGTTGCACAGCAGATATGGTAGCAATTTCAGATACAAATTGCCTCTTCCCTTGGTGAGATGATACTGAAAGTTGCTTCACAGCCACTACTCTACCATCAGAAAGTGTACCCTACAATGTACACAGAAAGACAATTTCGTAACGTGAAAGGAAAGAAAACAAAAGCTATTTTCTTCTCTTGCTCTCTCTCCTTTCTCTTGTCATTACTTCAAGTACATGATATTGATGTAATACGAATTTCACCTTATAAACGGGGCCATATCCTCCCTCTCCTAGCTTATTTGAAGGATTAAAATCTTCAGTTGCAGCTCTCAATTCAGCATAACTGAAAGTATATGGCCGGGGGCCTAATCCTAGAATATCTGCACATTCACAAAACAGTATGACGTAAGTTTTACTTTCGTGAAAGCATTCTTACTTCTGTGTGTTAATGTCAGAGCAGAGAAACTTGAATTGGGTACCAGTAATGATATGGTCGTTTACCTTCATCATCTTCTTTTTCTGATTTTTTCCTCCTCATATATAGAATCGCAAATATTAATAGCAAGCTCACAACTCCAACAAGAACTGCAATACCAACTGTCAACCCAGTCTTGCTCTTCTTTGTAAAATTCTTCTTTGTAAAATCTAAGTGATAAAACAGACGAATTCTTCAATGTCAATTAACAGCAGAAAAATACATTTAAACCACTCACAAGAAATCTTTATAAGTTAACACATACTATACCTGAAGTAGCATGGATAGCTGCTATTAGTGGGCAACAAGTCCCTTTACCAGCCCAAAACAGATGAATTTCAAGATAATTCTCGGACACGTTAACATTAAATTTTCTCACAACTGCTCGGTTAACACCACCTGCCTCCTTCGATATGTCAAAGTCCTTCATCCTGCGGGTACCCTAGCAACCAAATGAAGAGGTAGGTGATAATTCTAGTCTCCTTTAAATCACTGTATTTAGTTAATGTAGCTTAAAACATCGAAAACCTATCCAATGAGGTGTTTACTTCAAATAAGTTAAGAATTTTTATTCTATAAGTAGTCTTACCTGAATATAGATATCAAATACACGCCGTCCTAGACTTTGCCAAGCATACAAATTTTGACTTTCATAAACCGTCTCTGCAAAGTGCAATGTTACAGTGTAGGGCCCATTCACAAGGCCCAGGCCATAGTATCTCAGTGATCCTGTGGACATTCTTGAAGTCTGGTAAAGCGCCGGGGTCACATCTGTTCCAGTGACTTGTGCAAGGGTCTTGTGCACCGATGCGGGGGGGTTATCTCCGTCAGAAAACGAACCGACATTGCTGACAGCCCAATTCTCTGTACTGGATACCCTGAATGTTGTTGGACCAAGAATTGAGTAGTCACTCTCATACAATATGCCATCACGTCCCTTCATTTGCGGTCCACCACAGTTGATTGAGAAGTTTGCATCTGTAAGTTTCATGTAATACCAGAATCTATCCATGATTAGCGATGAAACTTCAAATTGAAGACTCAGACTAATGTTCTTCAGTCACATATTTCTAACCAGTTATGCGTATTACTGAACTTATGGAAACATGCTTCCTATCTATATCCATATGTATACATAACTAAAGAAGCAATGCCTTTTCCTCTAACAAGACGCTTCGTTAAAATAGTAAATGATGGGTGACATAAGAGCAGATTACATCGTGGGGTATTTCGATTGCATGGAAAATTTCTCTGGAGGCAATTCAATCCAGTAACAGTACTACTGCAAACACAGAGAAAAATTATTAGTTATCCAAATAGAAACATGTAGGGGGAGAGTAGTGATTGTATTGCTTGTCTAAAAAACGAGTAAGAGAAACTTCAACCCACGTTATGTTTGAACTGTCAAATGTGAAGTTGTTGACCACTAAGTTCCTGCATAAAATCATTAATCAATCAACATACGAAGAACTATATCTTTATCAAATGAAAATTCCATGTACAGGATCAAAACTTAGTAAGCAGGCAAGTAGCACTGTGAAAACGAATCTCAACGATAATTTTTTGTCCGAACATGTTCTGGTGATTTAAACTATAAAATGAACATGAAAGATAAAAGGAAACGTACAGTTGCGATAGTTGCGATATTTTGTCCTCCCACTCGGGAAAGCTTCCCGATAAAAAATTGTAAGACAAATCTCTGCAAATAACAAAATAGAATCAAAAGACACAAAATGCATGAAAGTTATTAAGAACTTGTGTAAGATAGGATTAGAATGCTTACGATTATACACACACATACATGCACCGTGCATTCTATATGACTATAAGAAACGAGGACTTACATAGTCTCAAGTTGGCCGGGCATTTGGCTCGGAAGAGATCCGGAGAGACTATTGTTTCCAAGAAACCTGGCCATTTCGATTATAGTAGAAGGCACCCAGAAAAGAAAAAGAGATGAACAAACAAAAGGTCAGATGTGCACAAAAGGTCTGATCTTCAATCAAAGTAGGGAATGCTGAAGATTTGATAACTTATGTATGATAAGGCAAGAAAAAAATAAAAATAAAGACGGGGATTACAAGGATGTAAGAGAACTCAAGTTGAACAAAGAACTTGGGAGTTGGCCTGTCAAATTGTTGAAACTCAGATCCCTGCAACACCAACGATGAGTTGAGAGGAGCAATCAGAATGAAAGAAAACGAATTGGTCTCGTTGGGACTCAAGCTTATATTTGCTTGTACGTACAGTGTCTGTAGACTTTGATATTCTCCAATATCAGATAGGATGGTACCAGTGATTAATGCGTTTCGTAGTGTTCTGTATTCCAAAAACATAAAATTTGATAAAAGTAGATGGAGTAAGATATCAAATTTGATGAAAGTATCTGGATCGATGAGAATCTTCACTTACAATTCAGTCAAGTTTTTCATATTTTTTATGAAATCCAGAGAAGAGCTCCCATTGTATATATCATTGATTCGCCTACATCATTATATGCAAAATAAACTGAAATCCCGTCTTCAGAGAAAGAGAGAGAGAATTACAATTTTTGAAACATTTGTACTTACAGAGACTCCAATGAGATCAGTTGAGAAAAGCTGGTTGGTATTGGGCCTTCGAAAGAGTTCCCTTGAAATCTCCTACAGAAACATATAAGAAGCTTGTGAACAAATTATCCATCTCAGGTCTGCTTTCATAAACTGCAAAAGATCAAAGGTTTCTCTACTTACAAAGAAGTGAGTTGTGTCCAATTCCCTATGAAATCAGGTATCTTTCCTGAGAAAGGATTGTCCGATGCCCAGCTAAAATTCAAAAAGTTGACTTATACTAAGCTCATCCAAGAAAAGAAATCTCAAAGTACTGGATAAACGAACAAATCTAAAATACGATTTAAGAGCCGTTCTTACAGGGCTTGCATCTTGGTGAAAATCATAAGGCAACTGATTAATACCCATTTCATACGATAAAGTGCAATTTTTGCTCATCCGTAAGGAATTAACGAAGCACTTACAGTTGCTCGAGCTTGACTAAATTACCAAGTTCTGGAGGGAGTGTTCCGGAGAAATTATTTGATCGGATGTCCCTGCAAGTCATGTTGAACGGGCAAACACTTACTTGAAAGCAATTATTGAAGAGTGATAGAAGGTTGTGTTGAATTGTAAGTCTACAGCTGATTAGGAAATAAGATGTGTATCAAATTTGTGTATTCACTTGAGTTTAAAATACCAAGTGTGCAGCTCTAATGTAGTAAGGCAAATAATGCCAGGTGTAATGATCCTAGCAACTAGCTAGATGTAAGGCTGAGATTGTTTTGTGAAGAGAGAGAATCCACCTTGGATTCCAACGGTTATGTAAAGCACAGAGTGTGTGTGAATTGTAGAGAGATGAAGAGAATATGCTCTGCTAGAGAGAAACCTTCAGAATATTCTTCCATTGTTATCCTTCTTATTTTCTGTTCTTCGATTGTTCATTCATAACCATATTTTTAGCTTATAACAACAGGTTCTGTATCTAATGTTTACGACGCAAAATTTTATTGTACACTCTCTAATTTTTCATGGCTTACAGCTGAGTTAGCTCCTTAAGGTTTCCAAGCTCCTTGGGGATGGGCCCAGAGAATGAATTGAAGGGAATATACCTGAATGGAGATGAGTACTGCGTTATTGCCAATGAATTACATTACATAACAGGAAACTAGTACTGCATTATTCAATAAAAGCATAATGATTTTTTGTAGATTACGGCATAAATAGTAGCGAAAAGGTGTAAAGAACATAACTGTAGATTATGATATTCAAAATGAAGTATACAAATTGCTACGGGTCTCATCAGAAGTATGAGTACTTGAAGAAATGTTCTCTCACTACTTACAATTCAGTCAATGCAGACATATGGCCAATGAATGCCCGTAGGGGACCGGTGAAATAATTCTTACTGATATTCCTACAAAAATTGAAAGGAAGTGTAATCGTTAACTCTTAATCTTACAACATCACCATATTTTTGTTGAAATCCCACATCGGCTAGAGAAATAAAAAAAGAAGAGTTAAAATATCCAAATCTTACAACATCACCATGTTTTGTATATGAGGCCCTTTGAGATAAACCCCACACCTGACGGATTGTGCAGGTGGTGATTATCAAGCTGGAGACAGTATCGGTGTTGTTGGAAGCGAGCTTTTGGCTCATCTCTCTTATAATTCTACAATTTTTAATATCCAATATATGATTTTGATGAACCGAAAACAGAGAAGGGTGTTGAAAAAAATTCATACAAAGATGTGAGATATCTCAGAGCCACAAATTCTTTCAGAAACACCCCTCGTTTGTTAAGAGCATACACTTGCCTGGAAAATCAGCAGTGGCATGGAGCGACACAGTCAAATTATGACGTTAACATATATAGGTAGCAAGTGAAAAATCAGCAGAGGCATGGAAATCTTGTTCATCAAGAGAGAGTAGCTTAACATACAGTTTGGTGATGTGGCATGTAGTACCGTTGTCGTAAGAACAGTTGCAAACAATGCCTGGGTTGTTATTGTCCCCATAAATGTCGGTGCCGTCGATGGCAGATCCACTGCAGGGTTCTCCACTGATATTCCACTGCCCCGGCATTGCTTGTGTGTCCCATTGTTCAAATATTGAGTTCAACGCACTCACTGCACTCTCAGTTAATTCAGTCCTTGTGTGTATTAGATTATATCACACCATAATTTGACTTGTGTTACCACTTACCAGACTATCTCGAACCAAACGAAAGATCAAATTGATTATTACAAAGGAAAATTACCCTTAATTTTTGGATGTTTTGTATATGCGAAGAAAAAGGGCTTTACAAATAAGTTCCTCGAAACTTCATTTCATATGGTCCAAAAACACTTAAAATGTCATTTTGTTGAGGGGAAAAAAGCCCAGTTCCTGGTCAAAAACACTTAAATGTGGCAAAGTGTGTGTGTGTGAGAGAGAGAGAGAGAGAGAGAGAGAACCTTCAGATGGATCAGTGGTAGCATTTTGAGCAAAGGACAGCTGAAACCAGAAGCAGCTGAGGAAGCAGAGTAATAGTATCCTCATCATTAACTTTATCTTCATATTGTACATGTGCAGAACTTGCTCTCCAAGACGGCGTGAACTTAAACGACCAACACTTGTATTCCGACTGGCTGAATCATGCATTGCATGTAAGAAGCAGACCATTAGATTTTAGTCATATATAAGAAGCAGACCATTGACAACGTATACATATATAATATAGGATAGATTACAAAAAAACTACATGTCAAATCACAATCTCATATTTCATATTTTAAATATTGTAATGTCATTTCTCAATTTATGAATTTATTGCAATATCAGACCTTTGTTAAATTTTCTGTCAATCTGACTATTAAATGATGACGTGATAGAAACGAGACCCACTTTTCTGCCAACTTGAATAAAAAATTAATTAATTATTAATAACTTATTAATTTTTTATTTGACAATTAAATTAACTAAAAAAAAAAAAAAAAAACCTCTCCTCCTTGTTCCCTGGAAATCGTCCCCTTTCCTCCTCCCATCACTCCTTCCTCCGCTCCCCTTCTTCCTCGTCCTCCTTAAAATACAGCTAATTTTCGTCCTCCTCCGGGAACAACTGATACACCGCCGATCGCAAAACGCAGGTGGGTTTCGATGGCAAACCAAAACCAGACCCCAAATAAGTGGGTTTTGATGGCAAACCAAAACCGGACCCTCATCTTGCTCCAACAGTCTTTACATAAAACTAATTTGATTTCTTCATCATAAGTTCACTAAGATTTCGGAAAACTGAGCATCAGAAACCATCCCCTTATCCTTTTCCTTCTCTTCAAATCCCATCACCGACTGGGGGTTTCGCCCCACTGCCATTTCTTCAATTTCTTCTTCTTCACCATTGTTCTAAGAAAAACTACCAAACAAAATTGCAAAGGGAGAGTTCCAGGAAGCCAAAACGACGAACCCCACAAAAACAAAACCCAAAACGAAAAACACAAATACAAACCCAGAAAATTCAAGAAATTAGAGAAATTAATTTTTTTTTTAAATTAGAGAAATTAAATTTTCAAAAATTCAAGAAGTGGCCATTTGAAAATTCGCCCAGAACTCCGGATTTTCGAAATCCTCCATAATATTCATTGAAGAATGGAAGTTCATTACAGTCAAACTTTTTGCTTTTTCTTTCCCCTTTTTTTTCCCACTTTCTGGGTTACCACCACTTCTACGGATTCGCTTCCCCGATGCGTGTCAACCTCTACACCTTCTCATTTCCGTCTCCGTCCGTTCGGTTCTCCATCAACCACCATTCGATTTCTCCCAACCATCATTCGAATCGATCCACTGCCGTTTCAAAGAAAACCGGACCGATTTTGATGCCGAAGAAGACATGTATGTGCTCGCCGACGTCGTAGCCAGATCATTTCGTTGCAACCCCCACAAGAACCTGGGAGGGAGTCAAAACACCGGATCTTTCCCGTCGAACAGATTGAAGATGTGCCGATCTGATATGACGAACTCGCTGGTCCGAATCGGTGGACTCGAAGGCGGCGGATGGACGAGGAAGAAGGGGGACGGGTGAGGGAGTGAAGGGGACGAATGAGGAAGAAGGGGGACGGAGGAGGGAGGGGGAGGAGACGATTTCTGGGGAAATGACGAGAGTTTTTTTTTTTTTTTTTTTTTTTTTTTTTAATTGTTAAATAAGAATTAGTAATTTATTATTAATTAATTAATTTTTTATTCCTACCATATCAGCATTTAACAGTTAAATTGACAGAAAAATTAAGCGAGATATAACATTGCAATATTTAAAATATGAGGTATGAAATTGTGGTTAGACCGATAGTTGAGCGTAATTTACTCTGTAATATATTTTGTCCAAGTTGTATGATCAAATGGCGGCCACTTTTTTAATTTCCCGCCTGGAGTTGGCCAAGACTTTGATCATATTAGTAGAATTGTATACTGTAATTTACCCAAAAGACTTTGATCAAATGGCGGCCACTTTTTTAATTTCCTTTTGATGTTGGTTCGAAGAGAAAGAACGAAAGAGAGAGCAAATCCTCTGATGCGGGGGGTGTGGGGGGATCTGGTGGAAGGAGGATATGGGGTGGCTGGGGTCCATGGATATGGATTAGCTATGGCATCTAACAGAATGAGAAAGAAGATGCAAGGTGTTTGGTTATGAGTTTAAAATGATAATTGAGTGTTTGGTTAGTAAGATACAAATATTGGGATAAAGTTTTGAAATACACATGTTTACATGTTGTAATATTATTGGGGCACATCAGAAGTGAGTAAATTTTTGTACTCCCTGTTGAGTACCTAAGTATTGTTCTTAAAAGAAAGGCAGCTACAAAATATGTGACTTGTATCATACATTTTTCCCAATTAAGAAAATTGATATTCAACAATAAAATCAAGAGTAATGTTACGCTTACTACCTATTTATATTATCATTTATTTTATTTCTTTAATAACTGTAGTGTTCGCCAACGCATGTGAATCTTATCTCTATTAGAAAGATGATATAAATAATGATACAAATATATGGTAAGAGTAGCATTTTTGTAAAATCAATTGGTAATATGAGAAGTAGTACAACTACTTATAAATCCTTATATAATTTAGTCTCTTTTTGTCCTCACATTCTCACACCCAACTTTACATTTGGACCAAGTCTCTGCATACGCTTTCCTCCTCAGCAACTTGCCGTTGTTGAATGTTCTCGTTCACTTGGGGATGTAGATAACACTAGGTCATTATATTTCCTCTTCCATTAATTGTAATGATAGCAATATTCTCATTAAAATAATTCCGCTCTATTTTATTTATTTATTTTCATCTGGTGTACATAATTTGAATCTTTTACTTTCAAAGTCACTCTTTAAAAATTAATTATACTAAAATTCAGCCAACTTTAATAATCTAATAGTCATATAATAAATAAACAAACCATGTTATTAAAAACTGAAATTTTGACTGGAAGGACGATGAAGAGGAGGCTTCATGAGATGGGCTGTCATGACGATACCCATCGTTATGGCACTACAGTGGTTCAGATCACGACTGAAAAAAATGGTTTAGGGTTGTGTTTTTGTTTAAAAATGATGTGTGTAATCATCTAGTCCAAGGGAAAGACTCTTAAAGTGTCCTCTGAAAGAAAAGCACCTTCAAGCGGGGCCCTAGGGAAACGAAAATGGTCTTGTAACCCTACCGACACATAATTGGACAGTGGAAAATCATGCGGAGCTACCTTTTTTGAAAAAAAAAAAGAAAAAAAAAGAAGAAATATCAAAGAGAATCTTTCAAAATAAAATTTTTCATCAACTCTTGAACACTTCATGTTTTTTATATAATTTATTTATCAATATTATAAAATATTTTGTCAAAAATAAAAGGTGACATAAAGTACAAGTGAAGGACGTTGACGGTTAAAATTGAAGTTTCACTACATATATGAATGGTGGGTATTGATACATATTGAAATATCTAAACCCAAAGTTAACCTCGGGTCAATAAAAGAAAAAGTCATCCACGTCCATTAAGTTGATATAAAATCGTGTATCCCAAAACGTGTGGCAACAACGTCTTGTTTTTCATACTTGCTTCGCGTGAGACGACGTCCACACACGAGAGATATTGGTCTTCCATGGATTTTTGCTGGGAATCAGTACTGGTGACTATCGAATCCTATCTCATCTTCTCACTTCCTCATTAACAAGATTTCTTCACACACCTATTTTTGCTTGTCACAAATCCTTCTTAATTTTAAGCAGTCAAATCAAATGAGTTGAAGAAGATTAATTATAAAAAATTAATAAAGAGGTGTGAAAAGTAAAAATAAGTGCTGACAGAAAATACAGTCGCTTTTAATGCCCAAGGCCTATCTCATTTGTTGGAAAGTAGACTATTGTAGCGAAGTGTGGTAGTTCATATAGTTGGCAATGGCGTTGGGATATTAATGGCAAAATTTAATGCCCAAGGCCAATCATTGAAATATGTAACGCCACAACTGCTGGTTCATATATAGTTGCGAGAGAATTTTCAATGTGACCAGTACATAAGATGGTATACCACTCGTCACTATACAAATAGTAGCATATGTGTGCTAAAAAGTTAATAACTTAAAAAATAAAATTTCCCAAAACTTCCATTAAAACACGTGGTGTACCACTTATGTTCCTGTCACAATTAAAAATTTCTCATATAGTTGCAAAAACTCAATAATTCCTTCCAATCCACCAAATAAAACAGCAACAATGCTTTGTCCTGCTAAGCGGGATCAGCTGTATGTCTCCCGGAATGTTACTGTGCTTTGATTTGCGTCAAGTCTGCCATCATCTCCGGGTACTCCATGCCTTTTCTTAAAATCTATTTCCAATTATAAAAAATTAATCAAAATGTATGAAAGGTAAAAATAAGTGCTAACAGAAAATACAGTTGCTTTTAATGCCCAAGGCCTATCTCATTCATTGAAAAAGTAGAATATCGTAGCGAATCGTGGTAGTTCATATATAGTTGGCAATGGCGTTGGGATATTAATGGCAAAATTTAATGCCCAAGGCCAAGCATTGAAATATGTAACGCCACAACTGCTGGTTCCTATATAATTGCGAGAGATTTTTCAATGTGACCAGTACACGAGATAGTATACCACTTGTCACTATATAAATAGTGGGATATGTGTGCTAAAAAGTTAATAACTTAAAAAATAAAATTTCCCGCAACTTCCATTAAAACAAGTGGTGTACCGCTTGTGTTTCCGTCACAATTAAAAATTTCTCATATAGTTGCAAAAACTCAATAATTCCTTCCAATCCAACAAATACAACAACAACAAAGCTTTGTCCCACTAAACGGGATCGGCTATATGTCTCCCGGAACGCTATTGCGCTTTGATTTGCGTCAAGTTTGCCATCATCCCTGGGTACTCCATTCTTTTCTTAAAATCTATTTCCAAGTATTATGAGGTTTTCCTTTACCCTTTTTACCCTGACCCTCTGTCTTTTTCTAACAATAGCATTTGTAGGACTTTTGTTCACATGTCCATTCATTTTAACCGATTTTCTCTCATCTTATCTTTAATTGCTGCCACTCCTATTTTATATCGAATATCTTGGTTTCTAATTTGGTCCTTCTAATCCACCCAATAATTGGTGGAATTTGTGGCCATGTGTTTTCGATGTGCACACCTTGACAAAAATATTGTTTGAAATTTCAATAAAATTGACCAAACTGCAAAGGCATTTACATAATTGAACATGTATTAGAACAACACAAGATGGTAGTCAGAGAGATTGAAACGCCTCTATGAATTTTTTGACTTTTAAAAAGATGGATTTTCATAGCTTTGCCACCATGTAGTCCTTTTTTTCAAAACAAAAAGGTAAACATGGTAATCAAATTCTTCATAAAGCCTTTTCATTCCTCATCATCACGAAAGTTTAAATTCATTCCTTGCCAATTTTATTCCCTTTCAATTTCGTTTCCCATTTACAAATTAGAAAAACATTTATAGTGGGAGGTTTTTGAATATACTCAACAATAATATACGGAAGTTGGCCACTAGGCATATAGGGTCAATTCGTATTTAAGAATTCAAAACGACATGCAGGAAATTAGCCTAATTAGGCGAGCTTCGGTCATTGTCTGTTTGAGGATGACCTAACATGGCAATCATAAGTGTAGAGTTTGCCATAACGTGTGTCGACATCCAGTATATATTAGAAAACAGTGCCTGCGCATTATTGCGGGATTAGAAATTGTAAAATAAATTGTATCAAAGATATAGAAGATTGTAACATAGAAGATTAATATTATTTACGTTGAAAACGTTAAGAAGATGTTTACATACAAAAAAGATTACGATTGGAACATGAAAAGTTTTCGTCATGTACCGTTGGTTGAGGTAGCAGAAGATGTTGTCCCATGAACTGAGCTAGTAAAAGCTAGTAAAAGCTGTATTTTAAATCATATGGTGTTGCGTTTACTCCAATAAAAAAATTAAAAAAAAAAGTGAAAACAGTTATGATAGAAATTCAATTAGCAAAGCTACAACCCAGTGAGAATATGAATTTATAAATTAGATTCACTTACATAGAAACAATTACCTTAGCATTTGCCAACTCTGTGTAAGTTGTTCATGAAGCGCAATTTAGAGCATTATTCTTGAAACTGTAAATCACAAACTTGTTAGAGCAGCACTATTAAGTATTAACAGGAATGGATATATTCATTGATCACTTTTAAAAAGTAGAATCTCAAATGAGATGAAAACTGTACATTCACTAAAAAGTAAAATCCCAAATGAGATGAAACAATCAAAGATTCTACTCATATAAATATGTGAGCATGAATGAATATTCAATATGAACATAAAATTATTCTCTTAATTCTGTGAAAATAACGTAACAAAACTTGAAACATACTAACCGTGTCCCTTTAATGCGGATATTGTCAATGTTCACCCTATGAATCAAACCTTGAAATGGTTGCTCTCAAAAAAAGGCAAACACTATACTCCTAAGGATGTAACGTATGTATTCCATATCTACCAAAATAATTCCAGAAATGATACATTGGAATGATGTTTTAGGTCTTCCACTATATTAAAAGGTTAGAAACCCAGAAGACAAAACACCACAATTCATTAAATTCAAAGTTGCGCATATTTCTTCTATACCTTGCATATCATGTTTTTTATACGATTGTGACTAAGACCTGATTTCTCTTTGATCAGCCTGAGCAAAAGCCCACAATTATTCTACAAAGTCAACACATTATATACATAGAGGAAATTGCTAATGTTAAAATTCAAATAGATTATTCTCTGTAGAAATCTCAAATAGATTATATATCAAAATTCAAAAATAAAGATAGAGAAAAACATTATGACTATTGAGCTAGTATTGAATAATGGGTTCACTATATTTATAACTGAAGAAATGCAATCCACCATTAAAATTCTATTAATTAAATAGTTACCCCTATATCTTTTGCTAATGAATATTCAAAATATTTGGCGATAAAATAATGAATAATGGAATAAATTAATCGTCAATTAATTATCAACTAAAAATAATATTCATTAAACCCTACAATAGAGTACATCTACTAAACAGAAGTTAAGATAACTAATATTGAATTTGACCTACTATTTTACTTGTATATTTGTTTTTTAAATTCGGTATAAAATTTGTTGAATGGATACGAAACACCCAACTCTATTAAATGCAATATTTTTTTTAACAAACGATATTATCCATATTAAGTGGATGGAGGAGTGGGTTAATCCTCACAATGGATCAGCAATAATGTGGTTCAAATTCACCTTGGCAATAATAAAATATTAAGTATTTGGCAACATCTTCTAATTGTGCAATTTGGAAAGGCTGGATTCTCACCTTCTCCGGGGCTGCTTCTCCACATCAATCATCATGAGAGAGAGGGAGAAAGCAGGTATTCTTCAGTGTTTGAGTCCTGTATATTGGTAAAAAACCAATTAGGTACTTCGAATTACATAAACATTTTCAAATAGTTCAAATTGGAACTTGAATGAATCCTGAATAAAATGAAAATAATTACAGAATCTAGGAACAAACCATACTTTGTCAAATGGCATATTTAACCTGGCATATAAATATTTCCAAGTAAATTGATAGTTACCTCAAATCAAAATAGAATAGGATAAACCTTTTCTAAAATATTATGAATTAACTCCGAAAAATTTCTTTAACCCAGATCTTTTTGAAAAAAAAATTATATTAATTTGGTGCTTTGTTTGGGTTTGGGAATTACGGATGGTTAAACAAAAATTAAAGAAATAAAATGACAATGTACTGATTTTGCAGAGATACCTGCTAATGGTTTTGCACCTTGGTGAGTAGTGTCATGAGTATTTCATAACACCGAATCTAAACGCAACATAAGCTAAACAACAAATAAAGTGATTCAACACATTCTGAAAGAAAACCCCCCCCAAAAAAAAAAAGTTAATTCAGTTCCCCTAACTAAACCCACAAAACACAACTAATCTCGAGTAGAATAATCTGAGAAAAAAGACATATAAATTTGCTTGACCAAGAAACTAAAAGATAAACCGCACAAAGAAATTATGCATATTTGAAAAGAATTCAACCGATTGTAAAATTCTGTTGGAAAAAAAACTAATGACAGGATTTCAGGCATCAATATTCTTTACACTTAAAATGTCAGAAAATTTTTACACAAAAAAATATTTCATCGATACAGCCTAGATACAAAAAATTGTAAATTTTTTTTTGTATTTACATGTATTATCTTTATGAAGTGATATGTATATATGTGTGTGTGTGTGTGTATGTGTAATACATAAGTTTCAGAACATAGACACTTTAGAACTTAATTCATTTTATAAAATAGAAAGAAAAAGATGACTTACACTTTTAAGGCTCCAATATTGATATAAAGTTGAGTCAGTTGATTTGTGGCTACCAACTGTAAACCAAAAATGTAAATGCTAAGTGATATTACATGTTTAATGGTTTTGACAAGTGCTAAGAGCTCGTTTGGATGTACTTTTAAAATGATTGAAAGCGTTTTTAGTGAAAATATTTTTAGAATCAATCTTTAGTAAAAATGCAAGTAAATCCTGGAAAAACACTTAAATGCTTATTGGAAGAAGCACATAACTGGTGTTTCTTGCATAAAACACTTTAAGTGCTTTTGGAACTCAAAAACATTTTCTCTAAAAGTGTTTTTAGTTATTTTAAAAATACATCCAAACGAGTCTTAAGTTATGTTATTATGTATGATGGCTTGCCAAATACTGATTAAAAAAAAAAAACAGTAAAGGGTTAAAACTTGAAATACCATATTCAATCTACCATAACATGCCAGCATTTTAAGTTGAATTGTTAAAATTTAAATCTTAGGATCAACTCACCTTCCTTGATCTATTAAGGAGGAATAAACAGAACGTTTCTTGTACTCTTCTTTGACCACTTCACTAAAAAAAAATTAATCTTTAAATATTAAAGCTGAAGATCTTAAATTCATAAGTTATAAACTCAATAAGCTAGTTAAAATAAACATCCATCACGACATAGAACGGAAATTAAGTTGTTTTGTTTCTGAACATTATTTTAGCAATCAAACGGAGGAAATCTGTGTCATACTAAACAAGCAGTGGTTGTTAAATTTAGTTCTTTAAATTTAGGTAAATATCGGTTTATTGTCTTTAAGTTCCGTGATTTTCAACATTTGGTATATTAAGATTTTTTCGTTCCAGAATCTTACCTAAAATGTTAATTTTAAAATAATCTTTTAATCAAACTGATAACTCTGTTATTACTGATGACGTGGGCTACGTGCACAATGACCTTGAAACTTAAGGGTTGGTTTGATCTGGGTTTTCAAGTAGCGGGGAAGTGTTGGCTGCTGCTGCTCCGCTCCCTCAACGCTCATTTTTTACACATCGCATCGTCGATCCGATCCCGGCTCCAATCCGCCAAACAGGTTCGTCCCCCTTCCCAAATCCCTAGTGTGTATTGTTTATTTCTGTCCGAAATTTGATCTGATTTTTTTTCCATATTTCCAGTAAATCATTTGTTATTCCTCCTCATCTCTCTCAGTGCTTTCACCGAAATTTTCAGTTCTTAGTTCGTATTTTGTTTCTGATTTTTGTTTGCGTTCAGTGTGATTTTGTGTGAAAGAATCAAAGATGTTGGGAATTTAAAGGCAAAAAGTGGGAGCTGGAAGCTCATCAGCCATGGTACACCCTCTACTTCTGCAATTTATGAACTTTCATTATATAAAACACTTGATTAATTTATTATTATGTGATTTACTGCCTAATCTTTGTGTTGGTTCAGATTTTGGGGCGGAGGATCCGCCCCGCCACGTCGGCAATGAGGTGTTTCGCATCTTCGGCGAAAGAGGTAATCTGACGCCTACCATCATCTAAACTTTGGCATTTATAATCCATGCGATTGCTTAACAAAAAATTTGTGGTTTTTATTTTTTTAGTAGATTAATTTTTGTATAAAACATTCTACCCATTGTTTAGTTTAACGAATTTTGTAGTGTTAGTTCTGCACCATTCCAGTTTGCCTTTGATTGGATAAATAATAGCATTGTTTAGCTAATTTGCAAATTTCCTCATATTCCTAAGTTAGCATTTTTGGTCAAAAATTTTAGATTTTACAGATTTTTTCAGTTCAGGATGATAAAAATTTAGGGCATTGATTTGTTGATGTGATTTCCACACTCTGAATTCAAATAGAAATGCAAGGATATATTAGATGTGTGAGTAAATTTTCAGTCGTCATATATTTGTTTAATGGTTGGTTCAGATCGGTCGATTCCGGAGGCCCTGCCATTGAGGTTAGTCTGAAGCGATTCCTATCTTATTGACTTATTGCATGTCAAAATCTGCTTCAAATTTGTGATTTAATATAATTGGGCTTTAGAAAAAAATTCATGCTTTTGTCTAATCCAATTGAGTGATTAGAAAAATTTTCATCAAATTTCTGGGTTCCTGGGGTGTTATGAATCTTTATGTTGAGAGAGCTTGGTTGCTTTAATTGCTAATGAAATTAGCTTCTAACCGTTCATAATTTGCTTTTTTATTTTCGTTCTATATTTTCTTTGAGTTCAGATATATATATATATATATATATTTTTTTTTTTATATATTGCCGATGCCAAAATATCATATTTAGAAGGGCAAAGATAGCAAGTTTCTAAATCAAATTTTTATCCTGGTTACTATCAATAAAAGGCACATGAAATATGGTATTGATTTTAGAGCCTTTGATTTCTCAGATTGTCTTCATATATCGAATGTCATCTGAATTTAGTTGTAGTTAGTTTGTCAAAATTTGTTGTTGTTTAGCTTTTTCAAATGGCAGCCGTAGTATTTGCCCAGTATTTTTTGTGAATTCTAAACTTTGCTTATAATTGTAGGTACCTAAAAGCTGCCATTTGGATTTGTTCCCCAGATGATAATGATTGTTCTTTTGCTTTGATGTAGAAGTAAGAAAATTGTTTTGCCCCTTATGTATCCTGCTTCTTTCTGTCCCTGTGTTCTTTGTTCAAAGGTTGGTTGGTTGTTAAACTTGCTGCTGTAGAAGAGTTAATTTCTGGTAGGCAGATGATTATAGTGTTGTTCCTATTATGCATAAGGTCGTGGTAATAATATTGTGAGATTTTATGTCTGCATAAATCCAAGAGTGGTTTTGATAATCAGAAAGTAATCTCTCAACTTCTTTGTGATTATAGTTGCTTTGATACTGTCATAGGGGCTTTTATCATACTTACAAATTGATTGTGATATGTCCATTCCTAGGTTTTAAATTTTTGTCAAACCCAGAAGTTACCTTGCTGGGTATATTTAAAAAGTAGTTTAATTAATCAATATTACTATGGTAGTTTTCAAGTATATGTTAATTGGAATTATTCCTTTTGGTTTTATTTTTAAAACTACATATCTATGGTAAGGAGGGATACCTATTGAAGTTTTGAATTTCCAGTAAATCTGATCATCAGGTGCTTAAAGATTTGAATTTTTAAAGTGGTTTCGCAAAAATTTGCAAAGCGGATGTTATGTTGCTTGCAGCAATAGATTGTTTATAGTTGTTTGGGTAATCTGGACCCAAAGGTTGAACTTTTTTAGTATTTTTTGGGGGTTTTGTGTTTGAACTTTTTTAGTATTTTTTTTTGTAGATATAGCCTACAAATGTAGACCCAAAGGTTGGACATAATCATTACTTCCTATTACAATTATTAAAGTTAATTATCTTTTATATAGAAAGCCGGAGGCCGGTCCTCGACAAAAAAATTGGACGCAAATGCCTGTCGGCCAAAACAAATTCGAAACGGCTAAATTTGTTTAGATCTTTTCATCGGGGGTTACAAACGGCAACGCTCTCTTGCTGAAGAATAGCGAATTTGGTCTCGGTTTGAAGAAAATTTGAAGCCCATAAAAGATTGCATCTCCTGCTGTCGATTTGATTTGGGTAATTGTCTGCTTTGAATGTAATGTGCTTGGGAGTGTAAATTTGGATTTTAAATGGGTTTTTTGTTCAAATTTTTTGGTTGTGATTTTGGGAATTTTGTTTTGTAGCTTCGGATTATAGGTGATGATGGTTAATTTGGTTTTGTTTTCGATTTCAGGAGATTGGGTTTTTCGAGTTTGTGACTGTTTTTTGAAGCCTGCGAAGACCTGTGTGTTTAAGGTCAGTGATTTTGAAATTCCAAGGTTTTGATTCTACTTGCAGCCTGAGGTGTGATTTTAACCCAGATTAGTTAATATAATTTTTTTTTTTTTTTTTCTGATTATGTAACTGAAGTAGCTAAAGTTAAGAAAGAACAATTGTGGCTTAAAGTCTTCATATTTGAAAGTTGAATCTCAGCCTTTGAGAGGCTTTTTGAACGTGTGCTCACGTATGCAGGGGATATCAGTATTTATTTGCTTGTTGGTTCTTAATTTTTGTGTTTCGTTTTGGATTTGTTAATATATCATTTTGTGCATCTCAGTCTGTGAATCGATGTTTTAGATTGGATTTTTGTGGTTTTGAATTTGTGTGCCTGAGAAGAGTTATCCAAATGTTTGATTGAACATTTAGGTTATGCTGTGCAAAGTTTTATTGTGTGTTGTTATCTGCGCTATACCATTTCTATGTAGGCTTCGAAAGTTATTCATGAGCTTTTATAAGCACTTTCCATATTTTAAGCTGTCATTTTGGGTTCTTTTCCATTAGGTCATTAGCTACTGACTGATGGAGAAATGAGGACCATGCCATTGATTTTGGGTTCTTTTTATAATTTTCTGATTTTGGGGTTTTGCAGGGAGCGCTGATGTACTGATTTTATGAGTTTTTTTTGTCCTTGCAGGATTTTGGGTCTTTGAAATGGTTACGTGTTGTTTTTAACTTTTTGGTTCTCGTGTGTTCTGTTCTTCATTGCTTCGTGATTCTCATTTTTCAGTATTGGGTGATGGAAATTTCTAAAAATAGTCGTAGGTTTTTTTAGAAAGTTGGCATTTTTAGTTATATTTTATGTTTAATCCCAAATGTAAGACTGGAAAATAATTGAAATGATGGTTTTTTAAAAACTCTTAATTTTTTTTTCTTCTCGGATTTAAAGGCATCTTTTCCCGATTGGTTACAATGGTTATGTTCTCTATAATTGGTTCACCATGTTTGATTAGTTTTAAGTCTTGTCCTACTAAGTTTTGTCTTCTGTGTAATGAGATATTTCTTTTGGTCTTTCAGATTTCGGCATGGGAAAGTTCACCTTCTAATTAGATTGTGTATGCCTTTAGTTCTTTATTTAATTGTTCTGTTTGCGTTCGGTGTGATGATCAAAATTTTATATGTTTGGAATTATTCACTTAACACCAATTTGTTACATTCAGGTCTCCACCCCACACTTCACAAGTTCAATAGAAGACGGTTCTGTAGATTGTGTCTGCAATTAGATCAGAGATCAACCGTTATTTTGTTATCATTTAAATTATATAAGTCGCGCGTAGAACGCCTTAATTACAAAAGGGTCTTCCGCACGCGCGTGAGTGCGTGTAGGGAGGCTAGTATTAACTAAAGTTGATTTGAATGTGATGATGATGGCAACCACTAACAATAAAACAACAATCTCCTTAATCTAGGAGAAAGAACCAATAGGTGAGGAAGAAAAGAAAGGAGGAAAGAGAGCTCTGCACATGCAAATGTCACTGTACATGTAAAGCAGAAATTTCTCTTTCGTGTTGTTAATCTCTGTCTAGCTTTGGTATTTTGAGGGTCTCTGAGAATACAATAAACTGTGACTCGGTCTCAAAGCTTTCTTGCTATATGATATCATATAAGTAAATGCTAGAATGCTAAGTTTTAACCAAGCCCATACTCACAAGCAAAATACAAATACAAAAGTCCATATTAAAATGAAGGTCGTGATTTATCGAAAGATGTTTCGTAAACATAGGAATTATGGATATGTAGGCATATGTATTTTAGCATTATGTGATGAATAGGTTTATTTTCTTTGGGTATTGCATGTCATGATCACCACAGTGATGTTTGATGTTCTTCTTCAGGTGCTTCTTGGGGATGTTGGAGCTGGGAAATCAAGTTTGGGGTTGCGCTTTGTAAAAGAACAATTCGTTGAATTCCAGGTTTGTTCTATATCTTTCAAAGGATGCATTTTCTTTTTTATCCATACCTTTACTTTTATAGTATGTTATTACAAGAATCAATTGCCACCCTTAGTTGGTGGTATTATCTTTACAACACATTCAAAGCAGCGAATAAAATCGCACTTGCTATTTTTTCTGTCAATTGGTCTACTAGAAAACTATAGAAATATTTGGTGAAAGCAATGAAGAAATCATTATGATTGATCTGGAAAGAAGCTCTAATAAGTTACAGGAGAGTAGCAATGTAAATTGAACTACTTATTTTATGGATTAATTCACCTATCTCTTGCTTTTTCTTTCATTTGGAGATAATTGTGTAAATGTGTGGTTTTGTGAGCGTTACTCATGTGAAACATGTATTGTCTAAATTGCTACATTTAAGAATGCGATTGTATTTCTGTAGCATTTTCAGTTAATTTTTCTACGAATGTTATTCATTGTTTGAAAACCTGTAGCAAAGCGCGGGCATTCCTGCTAGTGATATTGATTCTGGAAGCATGCCGAAACAAGGTTGTTTGATCGCAATTCACAAGAATTGCTCCGCCAATTAGGCTTCCACAACATCAATAACCCTTACGTTGATATGTACTTCCATTGCACCAAGGACGCCATGTCGATCGTGGAATTCCACAAAACTCTGATGAACCAAGTGCTTCCCTTGGCCTGGTCGCATAATCCTCTAACCACCCACAAACTCATCTGCAATTTCATAGACAGACGCGGCGACGGTGAAAAACGCAACCAAGACGAAGCTTTCTTCACAGCGACGGTTTGGCTCCACCAGAACCACTCGAAAACCGTTGCATACAATCTTGTGCCAATTTCCGACTCCTTTGGACATATCCTACACCTTCCCTGCATTCTTTCGCAGGTTTTACGGGGCGAAGCTCACTTGAAATTTACTGGAAGGACGAGGGAAAAGGCGGATTCAAATGGGATGGTGAAGGTCAAGGAAAAGGATGCCAAGTCAGAGGTAAGCGAATTGTTGTTGAGGAGGAAGGTGATCCACACGGCCAACAAGGCGGCTCAAAAATACAAGCGCGACGTTGATTATTGCTTCTTGCACAACTGTGTTTTGGATATTTTTGCCCAGAGCCTCAAGTTTGATATTGAAAAATTTCATCATCACAAGGACCATGACCATGACCATCATGATGATTATTGCTTGGAGATTACCCAAGCAGTTACCTTTTTGCCTACCATCGCTGATCATCATATGTTGTTTGAAAACATTGCGAGGAAGGTTTTCCGGTCAGAATCATGCCTCTGAGAAGGGGATGGTAGTCTTTGTTGTATTGACCGACTGACGAAGGAGGTTTTGTCGCCCTTGAGAAAAACTATGGCGCCAGAGGCCTGGGAACCTGCCAACCGGTGGGGTTATAGAGCGGAGTACAAGCGAGAGCAACTGGCTGTAGCTAATGAGGTTGATCCTGGCGTGCAGCGCTGCTTTCGCATGACATATTAAGCTATATCAAGTATTTTGAGCTTGAGCAAGAGGCTGATGTTAAGTGGAAGAAAATGATGGAGGTCTACTCAAAGCAGGGGAAGCAGAAGAATTGGTTGGCTGTGTGATGTCGACAACACCTTGTCGGCGGGTTTGGCTTTGGGGCTTTTGTTGCTTCAATTGAGTGACGAGCCATGGAAGGGAAATGTGGTCACCTAAAGCAAAGACCCTCAGCTGCATTCGATTCAAGGCGAGGATCTTAATTGGAAGGCCGAATATATGCAAACTTTGATCAAAAGCCAGGACTGGACGGCTGATTTCGGGAACGTGTTCGATGTGATTCTAGAAGAGGTGGTGAATGCGAATTTGAAGCTAGATAAGATGGTCAAGAAGGTGTTTGCCTTGACCACATACAAACACTTCTTGACAGGCAGCAACTTCAGCTTCTGGGGGGAGATTAAGATGTCTACCTTTGTTCTTCTAGTTTATGCTACTACTTTCACTTCTCCAAAGCTCTCCTTTCTTTGAGTTCTGATAAGACTAAGAGAAAGTATATATAGGGGTATATGTGTTGCTAATAAGTGTGTGTGTGTGTGTGTGTGTGTGTGTGTGTAGAGAAGAGCAAAGTGAGTGACAAGAACTAAAAAAGTGGATCTTGAAAACGGTAGGCTTATAACGTTCAAATTCTAACAGTCACTTTGAGTAGGGCAATAGAAACGAATAAAATGTGGGGCCTGGACTTGTTGCCTCAAGTGATCTGGCACTGGCACTTCCAAATGTAAAGAAAAAGGGCACAAAGACAACTAGATGAGCACCATAGCCTTAAATGGGTTGATCTTGCTTTGGAATTTTTGGTTGATTCGAGGTTATTTTTCAATTGAGATTTGCTTTGGTGAGCATGAACTTCCCTACATTTTCATTTTACCCAGCCCCACCGATGAGACCACTCATGTGAGAAACAATTAATAATCAAAGATTTTCTTAAGGTGACATTGATCGACGAACAATTAATAATCATTCATGTAAAAGAGGTTGCTTATGCAAAAACCTTACCAAAGAGTCACAATACGGTGACACTAATGAATCAACAATTGGCATTAACTCATCTAGAGCTAACTCGTGGCTTTTGTTTATAGGCATCTACGACGGGGTAAAAAGAGCGTGTGAAAATCAGTTCTCAATATTTCTCACTTTCCTTCTCCTTTAATGTCAGCTAGTAGTGATTGAGTGACGTTTACAGAAGCACCACTTGCATTGCTGCCTCCCGACTGATAGTTGAGGCGAACATTACTACCCTTGGATGAAGTTGATGGGGTATCATCCTCCACCAAAAATCTACTTGTTAACGATGTTGTTACATCTTTAAAATCATAATCTGTCAAATAGCTTGGCTTCGACATGACAGTGCCTATGTCAATGTCTCCAGAGAGCATTGCAACCACGCGTGACATAGATGGCCGTGCCATCGGTGATCCTTGTGTGCACAGGAGAGCTGCTCTTATCAATCTAGTTGCTTCGGTTTCATCAAACTCTGTCAATCTTGGATCCACCAGCCCCAGAGTTTGGTCGTTTTCATGCAGAGTCCACACCTAAAAAACATGATGCCACAGTCGAAGGAAAGTATAAATGAGTTTTTCACAACAATGCCTAAATGAAGCTAGGCAAATGCAATTCCTACCCATTCAAGAAGAGAAATCTTTTTTGGATCCAAGTTATTGTAAGAGTTTGGTCTCCCGCCGAGGATCTCTAAAACAACGACTCCGAAACCAAACACATCGGCCTTCTCTGTCAAATGTCCAAACAATGCATACTCTGGTGCCAAATAGCCTCTGCAATGCAAGATAATCAAATGGTTGCATAATGTTACTTGAGATCATTAGAGGCATTATTAACATGTGTGAAAATTTCGTGCAAGTATAAATGTGTGTGGCCATAATGTATGTATCCTCTGGAAAAACAATAGAGGATGGCTTACATTGTCCCTGCAACCCGGGTGCTGATGTGGGTTTTCTCGTCATCATAAAGCTTTGCCAATCCAAAATCTGATATTTTTGGGGAGAGTTCTGCATCGAGCAAAATATTACTTGCTTTGACATCTCGATGTACAATCCTTGGCCTTGACTCCTCATGAAGGTAAGCAAGTCCTCGTGCTGTTCCCAACAATATATTGAATCGAGTAGGCCAGTCAAGGTGCAAGTTACTTGTTCCTGAAATATTAGTGAACACATCCAATCAAAAACATTTCTTAACAATTTTAGAGTGCTTGAATTTGCAAACAATGTTGTTTTTGTGCAACCTAAAGGTAGATAGGTTTGTACCAAAAAGTGCCTGATCAAGGCTCTTGTTTTCAAGATACTCATACACCAAAATGTGGTGGCTGCCTTCAATGCAGCATCCATACAATTTCACTAAATTCCGATGTTGCACAGCAGATATGGTAGCAATTTCAGATACAAATTGCCTCTTCCCTTGGTGAGATGATACTGAAAGTTGCTTCACAGCCACTACTCTACCATCAGAAAGTGTACCCTACAATGTACACAGAAACACAATTTCGTGACGTGAAAGGAAAGAAAACAAAAGCTATTTTCTTCTCTCGCTCTCTCTCCTTTCTCTTGTCATTACTTCAAGTACATGATATTGATGTAATACGAATTTCACCTTATAAACGGGGCCATATCCTCCCTCTCCTAGCTTATTTGAAGGATTAAAATCTTCAGTTGCAGCTCTCAATTCAGAATAACTGAAAGTATATGGCCGGGGGCCTAATCCTAGAATATCTGCACATTCACAAAACAGTATGACGTAAGTTTTACTTTCATGAAAGCATTCTTACTTCTGTGTGTTAATGTCAGAGCAGAGAAACTTGAATTGGGTACCAGTAATGATATGGTCGTTTACCTTCATCATCTTCTTTTTCTGATTTTTTCCTCCTCATATATAGAATCGCAAATATTAATAGCAAGCTCACAACTCCAACAAGAACTGCAATACCAACTGTCAACCCAGTCTTGCTCTTCTTTGTAAAATCTAAGTGATAAAACAGACGAATTCTTCAATGTCAATTAACAGCAGAAAAATACATTTAAACCACTCACAAGAAATCTCTATAAGTTAACACATACTATACCTGAAGTAGCATGGATAGCTGCTATTAGTGGGCCGTAATCACCATAATTGGGTATGCAACAAGTCCCTTTACCAGCCCAGAACAGATGAATTTCAAGATAATTCTCTGACACGTTAACATTAAATTTTCTCACAACTGCTTGGTTAACACCACCTGCCTCCTTCGATATGTCAAAGTCCTTCGTCATGCGGGTACCCTAGCAACCAAATGAAGAGGTAGGTGATAATTCTAGTCTCCTTTAAATCACTGTCTTTAGTTAATGTAGCTTAAAACATCGAAAACCTGTCTTTAGTACTGGATAAACGAACAAATCTAGAATACGATTTAAGAGCCGTTCTTACAGGGATTGCACGTTGGTGAGCTTGGCAAATGTCGAAGGAATTTCACCAGCGAGTCCACAGCTGTCCAAGTGACTGTGAAAATCATAAGGCAACTGATTAATACCCATTTCATACGATAAAGTGCAATTTTTGCTCATCCGTAAGGAATTAACGAAGCACTTACAGTTGCTCGAGCTTGACTAAATTACCAAGTTCTGGAGGGAGTGTTCCGGAGAAATTATTTGATCCGATGCTCCTGCAAGTCATGTTGAACGGGCAAACACTTACTTGAAAGCAATTATTGAAGAGTGATAGAAGGTTCTGTTGAATTGTAAGTCTATAGCTGATTAGGAAATAAGCTGTGAATCAAATTTATGTATTCGCTTGAGTTTAAAATACCAAGTGTGCAGCTCTAATGTAGTAAGGCAAATAATGCCAGGTGTAATGATCCTAGCAACTAGCTAGATGTAAGGCTGAGATTGTTTTGTGAAGAGAGAGAATCCACCTTGGATTCCAACGGTTATGTAAAGCACAGAGTGTGTGTGAATTGTAGAGAGATGAAGAGAATATACTCTGCTAGAGAGAAACCTTCAAAATATTCTTCCATTGTTATCCTTCTTATTTTCTGTTCTTCGATTGTTCATTCATAACCAGATTTTTAGCTTATAACAACAGGTTCTGTATCTAATGTTTACGACACAAATTTTTATTGTACGCTCTCTAATTTTTCATGGCTTACAGTTCGGTTAGCTCGTTAAGGTTTCCAAGCTCCTTGGGGATGGGCCCAGAGAATGAATTGAAGCCAATATACCTGAATGGAGATAAGTACTGCATTATTGCCAATGAATTACATTACATAACAGGAAACTAGTACTGCATTATTCAATAAAAGCATAATGATTTTTTTGTAGATTACGGCATAAATAGTAACGAAAAGGTGTAAAGAACATAACTGTAGATTATGATATTCAAAATGAAGTATACAAATTGCTACGGGTCTCATCACAAGTATGAGTACTTAAAGAAATGTTCTCTCACTACTTACAATACAGTCAATGCAGACATATTGCCAATGAATGCCGGTAGGGGACCGGTGAAATAATTCCCACTGATAACCCTACAAAAATTGAAAGGAAGTGTAATCGTTAACTCTTAATCTTACAACATCACCATATTTTTGTTGAAATCCCACATCGGCTAGAGAAATAAAAAAAGAAGAGTTTAAATATCCAAATCTCACTCCAACTAATGATAAGGCCCTTTGAGATAAATCCCACACCTGACGGATTGTGCAGGTGGTGATTATCAAGTTGGAGACAGTATCGGTGTTGTTGGAAGCGAGCTTTTGGCCCGTCTCTCTGATAATTCTACAATTTTTAATATCCAATATATGATTTTGATGAACCGTAAACAGATAAGGGAGTTGAAAAAAATTCATACAAATATGTGAGATATCTCAGAGCCACAAATTCTTCTAGAAACACCCCTCGTTTGTTAAGAGCACGCACTGTCCTGGAAAGCAAAAAGATTGAACATTAGAACTACATAAAATGGAGCGACACAGTCAAATTATGACGTTAACATATATAGGTAGCAAGCGAAAAATCAGCAGTGGCATGGAAATCTTGTTCATCAAGAGAGAGTAGTTTAACATACAGATTGGTGATGTGGCATGTAGCATTATTGTCGTAAGAACAGTTGCAAACGATGCCTGGGTTGATATCGGCGCTATAAATGTCGGTGCCGTTGATGGCATATCCACTGCAGGGATATTCCACTGCCCCGGCACTGCTTGTGTGTCCCATTGTTCAAATATTGAGTTCAACGCCCTCACTGCATTCTCAGTTAATTCAGTCCTTGTGTGTAATAGATTATATCACACCATAATTTGACTTGTGTTACCACTTACCAGACTATCTCGAACCAAACGAAAGATCAAATTGATTATTACAAAGGAAAATTACCCTTAATTTTTGGATGTTTTGTATATGGGAAGAAAAAGGGCTTTACAATAATTTCTTCGAAACTTCATTTCATATTGTCGAAGAACACTTAAAATGTCATTTTGTTGAGGGAAAAAAACCCAGTTCCTGGTCAAAAACACTTAAATGTGGCGAAGTGGGTGGGTGGGTGTGTGTTGGGGGGGTGTGGTGGTGGAGGAGAGAGAGAGAGAACCTTCAGATGGATCAGTGGTGCCATTTTGAGCAAAGGACAGCTGAAACCAGAAGCAGCTGAGGAAGCAGAGTAATAGTATCCTCATCATCAACTTTATCTTCATATTGTACATGTGCAGAACTTGCTCTCCTCGACGGCGTGAACTTAAACGACCAACACTTGTATTCCGACTGGCTGAATCATGCATTGCATGTAAGAAGCAGACCATTAGATTTTAGTCATATATTGACAACGTATACATATATAATATACGATAAATTACAAAAAAACTACATGTCAAATCACAATCTCATATTTTATATTTTAAATATTGTAATGTCATTTCTCAATTTATGAATTTATTGCAATATCAGACCTTTGTTAAATTTTCTATCAATCTGATTGTTAAATGATGATGTGGTAGAAACTGGTAGAAACGAGACCCACTTTTCTGCCAACTTGAATAAAAAATTAATTAATTAATAAAAGATTATTAATTTATTATTTGACAATTTAAAAAAAAAAAAAAAAAAAAAAAAACCTCTCCTCCTTGTTCCCTGGAAATCGTCCCCTTTCCTCCTCCCATCACTCCTTCCTCCGCTCCCCTTCCTCCTCGTCCTCCTTAAATACAGCTAATTTTCGTCCTCCTCCGGGAACAACTGATACACCGCCGATCGCAAAACGCAGGTGGGTTTCGATGGCAAACCAAAACCAGACCCCAAATAAGTGGGTTTTGATGGCAAACCAAAACCGGACCCTCATCTTGCTCCAACAGTCTTTACATAAAACTAATTTGATTTCTTCATCATAAGTTCACTAAGATTTCGGAAAACTGAGCATCAGAAACCATCCCCTTATCCTTTTCCCTCTCTTCAAATCCCATCACCGACTGGGGCTTTCGCCCGACTGCCATTTCTTCAATTTCTTCTTCTTCACCATTGTTCTAAGAAAAACCACCAAACAAAATTGCAAAGGGAGAGTTCCAGGAAGCCAAAACGACGAACCCCACAAAAACAAAACCCAAAACGAAAAACACAAATACAAACCCAGAAAATTCAAGAAATTAGAGAAATTTTTTTTTTTAAATTAGAGAAATTAATTTTTTAAAAATTCAAGAAGTGGCCATTTGAAAATTCGCGCAGAACTCCGGATTTTCCAAATCCTCCATAATATTAATTGAAGAATGGAAGTTCATTACAGTCAAACTTTTTTCTTTTTCTTTCCCCTTTTTTTTTCCCAATTTCTGGGTTACCACCACTTCTACAGATTCGCTTCCCCGATGCGTGTCAACCTCTACACCTTCTCATTTCCGCCTCCGTCCGTTCGGTTCTCCATCAACCACCATTCGATTTCTCGCAACCATCATTCGAATAGATCCACTGCCGTTTCAAAGAAAACCGGACCGATTTTGATGCCGAAGAAGACATGTATGTGCTCGCCGACGTCGTAGCCAGATCATTTCGTTGCAACCCCCACAAGAACCAGGGAGGGAGTCAAAACACCGGATCTTTCCCGTCGAATAGATTGAATATGTGCCGATCTGATATGACGAACTCGCTGGTCCGAATCGGTGGACTCGAAGGCGGCGGATGGACGAGGAAGAAGGGGGACGGATGAGGGAGTGAAGGGGACGAATGAGGAAGAAGGGGGACGGAGGAGGGAGGAGGGAGGTGGAGGAGACGATTTCTGGGGAAATGACGAGAGTTTTTTTTTTTTTTTTTAAAATTAAGTTTAATTGTTAAATAAGAATTAGTAATTTTTTATTAATTAATTAATTTTTTATTTCTACCACATTATCATTTAACAGTTAAATTAACAGAAAATTTAACCGAGATATGACATTGCAATATTTAAAATATGAGGTATGAAATTGTGGTTAGACCGATAGTTAAGCTCGTTTTATGTAATTTATTCTGTAATATATTTTGTCCAAGTTGTATGATCAAATGGCGGCCACTTTTTTAATTTCCCACCTGGAGTTGGCCAAGACTTTGATCATATTAGTTGAATTGTATACTGTAATTTACCCAAAAGACGTACCCAGAACCACTTCTCTGCCCTTCGCCGGAAACCATGTCATCATCGGCCACTTGCTTTTGATGTTGGTTCGAAGAGAAAGAACGAAAGAGAGAGCAAATCCTCTGATGCGGGGGTGTGGGGGCATCTGGTGGAAGGAGGATATGGGGTGGCTGGGGTCCGTGGATGTGGATTAGCTATGGCATCTAACAGAATGAGAAAGAAGATGAAAGGTGTTTGGTTATGAGTTTAAAATGATAATTGAGTGTCTGGTTAGTAAGATACAAATATTGGGATAAAGTTTTGAAATACACATGTTTACATGTTGTAATATTATTGAGGCACATCAGAAGTGAGTAAATTTCGGTACTCCCCGTTGAGTACCTAAGAATTGTTCTTAAAAGAAAGGCAGCTACAAAATATGCGACTTGTATCATACATTTTCCCCAATTAAGAAAGTTGATATTCAACAATAAAATCAAGAGTAATGTTACGCTTACTACCTATTTATATCATCATTTATTTTCTCTCTCTCTTAACTGTAGTGTCCACCAACGCATATGAATCCTATCTCTATTAGAAAGATGGTATAAATAATGATACAAATATATGGTAATAGTATCATTTTTGTAAAATCAATTAGCAATATAAGAACTAATACAACCATTTGTAAAACCTTATATAATTTAGTCTCTTTTTGTCCTCACATTCTCACACCCAACTTTACATTTGGACCAAGTCTCTGCATACGCTTTCCTCCTCAGCAACTTGCCGTTGTTGAATGTTCTCATTCACTTGGGGATGTAGATAACACTAGGTCATTATATTTCCTCTTCCATTAATTGTAATGATAGCAATATTCTCATTAAAATAATTCCGCTCTATTTTATTTATTTATTTTCATCTGTTGTACATAATTTGAATCTTTTACTTTCAAAGTCACTCTTTAAAAATTAATTATACTAAAATTCAGCCAAATTTAATAATCTAATAGTCATATAATAAATAAACAAACCATGTTATTAGACTGGAAGGACGATGAAGAGGAGGCTTCATGAGATGGGCTGTCATGACGATACCCATCGTTATGGCACTGCAGTGGTTCAGATCACGACTGAAAAAAATGGTTTAGGGTTGTGTTTTTGTTTAAAAATGATGTGTGTAATCATCTAGTCCAAGTGAAAGACTCTTAAAGTGTCCTCTGAAAGAAAAGCACCTTCAGCCGAGGCCCTAGGGAGACAAAAATGGTCTTGTAACCCTACCGACACGTAATTGGACGGTGGAAAATCATGCGGAGCTACCTTGTTTGAAAAAAAAAAAGAAAAAAAAGAAAAAAAAAGAAGAAATATCAAAGAGAATCTTTCAAAATAAAAATTTTCATCAACTCTTGAACACTTCATCTTTTTTATATAATTTCTTTATCAATATTATAAAACATTTTGTCAAAAAAATAAGGTGACAAAGAGTACAAATGAAGAACGTTGACGGTTAAGATTGAAGTTTCACTACATATATGAATGGTGGGTACTGATACATATTGAAATATCTAAACCCAAAGTCAACCTCGGGTCAACAAAAGAAAAAGTCATGCACGTCCATTAAGTTGATATAAAATCGTGTATCCCAAAACGTGTGGCAACAACGTCTTGTTTTTCATACTTGCTTCGCGTGAGACGACGTCCACACGTGAGAGATATTGGTCTTCCATGGATTTTTGCCGGGAATCAGTACTGGTGACTATCGAATCCTATCTCATCTTCTCACTTCCTCGTTAACAAGATTTCTTCACACACCTATTTTTGCTTGTCACAAATCCTTTTTAATTGAAGCAGTCAAATCAAATGAGTTGAAGAAGATTTATTATAAAAAATTAATAAAGAGGTGTGAAAAGTAAAAATAAGTGCGGATAGAAAATACAGTCGCTTTTAATGCCGAAGGCCTATCTCATTCGTTGGAAAGTAGATTATCGTAGCGAAGCGTGGTAGTTCATATAGTTGGCAATGGTGTTGGGATATTAATGGCAAAATTTAATGCCCAAGGCCAAGCATTGAAATATGTAACGCCACAACTGCTGGTTCATATATGGTTCCGAGAGAATTTTCAATATGACCAGTACACAAGATGGTATACCACTCGTCACTATACAAATAGTAGGATATGGTGCTAAAAAGTTAATAACTTAAGAAATAAAATTTCCCACAACTTCCATTAAAACACGTGGTGTACCACTTATGTTCCCGTCACAATTAAAAATTTCTCATTCAGTTGCAAAAACTCAATAATTCCTTCCAATCCACCACATACAACAGCAACAATGCTTTGTCCTGCTAAGCGGGATCGGCTGTATGTCTCCCGGAACGTTACTGTGCTTTGATTTGCGTCAAGTCTGCCGTCATCTCCGGGTACTCCATGTCTTTTCTTAAAGTCTATTTCCAATTATAAAAAATTAATCAAGATGTATGAAAGGTAAAAATAAGTGCTGACAGAAAATACAGTTGCTTTTAATGCCCAAGGCCTATCTCATTCATTAAAAAAGTAGACTATCGTAGCGAATCGCGGTAGTTCATATATAGTTGGCAATGGCGTTGGGATATTAATGGCAAAATTTAATGCCCAAGGCCAAGCATTGAAATATGTAACGCCACAACTGCTGGTTCATATATAGTTGCGAGAGATTTTTCAATGTGATCAGTACACGAGATAGTATACCACTTGTCACTATACAAATAGTGAGATATGTGTGCTAAAAAGTTAATAACTTAAAAAATAAAATTTCCCGCAACTTCCATTAAAACACGTGGTGTACCGCTTGTGTTTCCATCACAATTAAAAATTTCTCATATAGTTGCAAAAACTCAATAATTCCTTCCAATCCACCAAATACAACAGCAACAAAGCTTTGTCCCACTAAACGGGATCGGCTATATGTCTCCCGGAACGCTACTGTGCTTTGATTTGCGTCAAGTTTTCCATTAACCCTGGGTACTCCATTCTTTTCTTAAAATCTATTTTCAAGTATTATGAGGTTTTTCTTTACTTTTTTTACCTTGACCCTCCGTCTTTTTCTAACAATAGCATTTGTAGGACTTTTGTTCACATATCCATTCATTTTAACCGATTTTCTCTCATTTTATCTTTAATTGCTACCACTCCTATTTTATATCGAATATCTTGGTTTC